ACCGACAGCCAGGGCTACGAAGAGATTTTTGAGTGTAACTCGACGTCAGAGGGAATGTGTTCGTTGCCGTCGCTGATGTGCAGCAAAAACCTCACCTTCACCCTCGAGGCCCGCGACCAGCAGTGCCCCAGTGCACAAAGCAATGCTGTCATAACTGAGACAGGTAGAGAAAAGAAAGTTTGAACACAGCCATACTGTGCTGTAAAGGCTGAAATTAATTTAAGTGATTGGGGCTGTGATGAACAAACTGTTTTTGAGCGTGGTGCCATACACACGCTGTTTTTGGTTGTAATATAAATGGTATTTCAAGCAATAACTTTGTCTTCATTGGAGAGCACAACTAGTTAATCAGAGTAAGCAATCCCTATGTGATGTTGACTGGCAATAGTCACCACAACTGTTTGAAAATTAATAAATAGTCTATACATAGAGGATTTATTGGTAGAACCTAAGAAGATATTAGCTACTTTTCTGAGAAACCCCCACTAAAGTTTGATATTTTCAATGAAGGATACTATCTGTAGCATCATTATCCTTATCTAATGTAGCACTGTAGTTGTTGTTGTATCTCACAGTGTTACTCCTTCCCCAGCTCCCTGTCCTCCTTCGGACATTAACACATCAGTGGATTGCAACACTGGCACAATCAGCATCGACTGGATGGCCATTCCTGGTGTGGTAACATACACGGCTACGCTAGAACAGATAAACGATGGAACCTACTGCTGCACCACGCAAAACCACAGCTGTAACATCACCGATCTTCCGTGTGGAGAAATGTTCATTTTGCTCGTCGTAGCTGAGGGACGAACATGCAACAGCACCCAGAGCGAAGGGAAGATCGTCAGGACAGGTATAAACTGAACATGTCACATCATGCATACACAAGGCGGTTAAAGAAAGTGGAATTTAATTATTAGTCACATATTATGCAAAATCAAAATGTTCATGTTTTTTTACAGAAATATTTGTCCCCTCTGTGTAAATTGATTCTGAAAGTTTCAGGAAAAAAGATTCCCTCTCTTTTGGTCCTGATCCATTTATATAACATCCTGTCTGAAAATGAGCTGATCAGATTTGGTCCACTTTGTGATGTCATAATGTTTTTTTGGGTTGTGTAACCATTAGCCAATAACCAACTTAGGTAACCCCCGGCCACCTTATCACCTGAATCTCCTCCTAGAGCACCATTGTGTTATTTTTAACCAAATATCTCGCAGAGGGGCGTGGGGAGTGGCTCCTTATTTTCATCTGAAGTAATAGACACAGAATCAGCACTTATGAAACAGGGGTGAAACAGAGGGGTTTATGGGATGCTACAATGGGTGATCTGTTTGGTATTTCGAGCCAAACACTTCAGAGACATGTTTTGTATATAACTGAGACCTATAATATATTGAAGAAAAATAGTATAATAGGGGACCTTTAAAGAAGAAAAAAATGCAGTCATCAGGTGTAAAATAAACAATTAAAATGCTACATTTCTATATTGACCTTTCCCCCGTCAGAGCCATGCATTCCTCAGAACCTGAAATCCAGCCTGAGCTGCAGCAACAACGTGGCCTCCATGTCGTGGAACTACAGCAGGGGAGGACAGGTTTACAGAGTGAGTGCCGTGAGTACCGATGGACATGTCGACAAGTGCAGCTCCTTCGAAAACCAGTGTGATCTGACGGGTCTGAGCTGTGGAGAGTATTACACAGCGACTGTGCTGGCAGAGGACCAGGACTGCCTGAGCAAACCGAGCGACAGCGTGACAATCAAGACTGGTATGTTTAAGCTATAACTGCTAACTTATGGATACTTCTTAAAGTAAGGCAAGGCAAGGCAAGTTTATTTATATAGCACCTTTCAACACAATTCAAAGTGCTTTACAAAAATGAAAGACATTAAGAAAATGGCATTTAAAAACAGTCATTAAAAAGCAAAGATAATAAAATAAACATGAATAGAAAAAATACATGAATAAAAGTTACAGTGCAGTTTAAGATGTGAATAGTTCAATTAAAACGAGCGGCAAAAAGAAAAGTCTTCAGCCTGGATTTAAAAGTAGTAAGAGTTGCAGCGGACCTGCAGGTTTCTGGGAGTTTGTTCCAGATATTTGGGGCATAATAACTGAACGCTGCTTCTCCATGTTTAGTTCTGACTCTGAGGACAGAAAGCTGACCAGTCCCTGAAGACCCGAGAGTTCTGGATGGTTCATAATTTAGCATTAGGTCAGAAATGTATTTTGGGCCTAAACCATTCAAAGCTTTATAAACCAGCAGCAGTATTTTGAAATCAATTATTTGACATACAGGAAGCCATTGTAAAGACTTCAGAACAGGAATGATGTGATCCACTTTCTTAGTGTTAGTGAGGACTCGGGCAGTGGAAGATCTTGGAGTGTTTGTTATAATATAAAATGATCTCCAATATACATTTAATATCATAATCGATTAAGTTCTCAGTCATTCAAAACTCTTTAATGTAACAAAGACTTTAAGCCACACATCTTTGTCTCTTCTTGCCAGTGCCCTGCACTCCTGCAAACGTCTCCTTGGCGGTGGACTGTGAGGACAACACTCTGACGACGTCCTGGACAGAGAGCTCAGGAGCGGACTCGTACATCGCCACGGTGCAGGACAGTTACGGTCAGACCACCAGCTGCCAGGCCATGAACGAGTTCTCCTGCAATGTGACCGGGCTCGGCTGCGGTCAGATCTTCCATGTGTCTGTTGTCTCATCTGATGGGTACTGCAACAGCCCGTCCACTCCTATGGAGGACACGCCTTCAGGTAGGATGGAGACAGACGTGTACCGTACGTTTTGAAGAACATAAACAGATTTTATAGCATGCAGAGGGAAAAGATTACACTTAAAATTACAGTTACAGTTGAGCTTCTTTTGAACCTCTATGGTTTATAACATTAATTTATATAATATGATTGTGTGTGCTAACCACACGCTTAAAAAAAAAAACTAATAATTTTAGCTCATACAAAGATTTAATTTAGCTATATCTACAAAATGTAAATAAAATGGTGTATTTTAAGCTGTTTTGCTTTGTAATTATCCAAACGACTATTACATTTGATTTTGAATTAGAATTATTTCAGTGCAATTTTAACTTTAACTAACAAGAATACATATTATATTGCTGGTAGTATTAAAGCTTTAGACAACATTAAAGGTAGGGTAGGTAAGAATGGAGAAACCAGCTCGAGTAAGCTAGAATTTGAAAGTACACAACCGAAAAAAATCTGCCACTTCCTTATAGAGCCCCTCCTCCAACAAACACGAACGCGCACATGACCAATGAGGGCACGAGATAAGTTTGTGCACAGATGGAAGGCTGACAGGCTGGTAGGCCATCCAGTTATTTTAGCCGGGCCGGCTAAAATGATTGGTCGTGCTTTTTACAGTACTACGGCTTCCACAGATGACATTTTTTTATGGATTTGTTGTCAAAGCACTTAAGATATTCAACAAAAAGTGTATCTCGAGCCGGTTTATCAAACTTACCTACCCCACCTTTAAGTACTACAATCACTGTATATTTATGATCATCAGTAAGCTTGTCTTTCTTTTTTCTATTTCTTTGAAGCAATGTAGTATGTTTAAAGCACACTAAAGTTGTAACTGTCCTACCTCTCGTCTCAGTTCCCTGTAAGCCGAGACTGATCCAGGCAGTGATGGACTGCTTCATGCGGACGGCCACAGTGATGTGGTACCCGGCCGATGGAGCTCTGTCGTACACGGTCATGGCCTCCACCGCATCAGGCCACAAAGTGAACTGTGAGACCAACACCACCACCAGCTGTGTGCTGGAAGGGCTGCTGTGTGGCAACAGCTACTCTGTGTCTGTGACGGCTGTGGGATGGTCCTGCTCCAGCATCGCTCCCATGCCAGGACAGCTGGTCACTGGTGAGCGACAGCACCTCACAAAGCTACATGCCTAATAATAATATAAAGTCCATCCACTCAGTTTTGTGTTTTAAATATTGTCAAACATAATAAACAAGGTATTCTCAGGTTCCTACACAGAATGGAAAAGTATGGAATTGTATTTTAGTTTCTCCAGGTCTGTACAGTATTTATAAGAGAAAAGAGTGTACAATATAAATGTATTCCAATATTTGATTTTACATGACACAGAGTTGCAGCTAAAATAAAATGATATGCGTTGACCTCGTCTGGGATGTTTTAATGTGCTACAGTTCCTAGTGACAATCTTCTGGCAATTATTTGGCTCCATAATAGCATAGGCTACAGTTTATAGTCAGAATGTCACATATGTTAAGGAATAATTCTTCTAGATATCTAACATTTTACTCTGACATCTGTTATCTCCTTTAAGGAAAGGCCTTGGTGCCATATGTGTTGTTGTCACCAGGTTGTGACCGGTCAACTTGTCTGGCACGAAGGGTAATTGTTGTGAGAACACTGAGGCACTTCTTTATCGGTGTTTGTGGGCTCTAGGATGTGAAATCCTTGAGGCCATGAGTGTCGGACGCAGGTGGCTCAGTGTTCCCAGCTGTTTAGTCTACTCCTTCAGAGATGTTGATTTCTCTCTGTGAACCAGTTAAAAGGTCTAGCATAGAGAGAGGCTCTTCAGAATTGACGTGGCAACTCTACCGTGAAGTCAGAACCTCTGACTCTTTGACTTGTGATGTGAATCCTCCGGCCGAATACTCTGAATAAACCCTTCAGTGTTTGACATCAAAGCTCCAACTCTCACCGTGTCTCCTTCCTGAGTCGGTGACTCCATGCATTACTACACAGAAGTTTCCTCCACAACATACATGTCAGTTATATACATAAACACCCAGCTATGTGTACTAAGATATTACATATGGTCCAAAAAATATACAAAGAAGAATAGAAATGTAGGGACTTTGAAATGGAAAGTGTGTAGGTAGTCATTTTTACTCATGAACACCTTCTCTCTCCCAGAGCCGTGCATCCCTGAGCAGATCACCACTGAGTACAGCCTTTCCATCGGCCAGGTGATGTGGGACATGACCGCTGGGGCTGATTACTACACAGTGGAAGGGGTGACAGATCAGGGCCAGATGGTCTCCTGCGTCACCAGCGACACTTACTGTGCCTTGTACGGCTTTGACTGTGGCCAGATGTACAATATAAACGTCACAGCAAACAATCAGGTCTGCCAAGGCCCGTCAATCTCGACCGAACCCGCTTCAATAACAACGGGTAAGAAAACACGTTGATGAGTTTTTGCATTGTCAAGGTTCTTAACGGAGTGAGATCTGTCTTTGATAGTCTGCACTGATAGTGTCAGTATGAGTGTTAGGATATAGGACCTTAAAATTATGTCTAACGGATTCGTTTTTGACAGGAAGTTGAATTAACAACTGTTTTGCAGTCAATTTTCATGTAAACATGCCCAACTTTTTGTTATTCCAACTATTCAATTCTGATGGTTTGCTGCTTTTTTTTTTTACTTACTATCACTAGGTTTTGGGGTGTTGGTCAAACTAAACAAGACATTTGAGAGCATAACTTTACTGAATTAACTGAATTAAATTAATCAGCAGCATAACCATGAAGGAAAGAAAAAGTAAATGTGTCACTTTTGGCACATTTTAATATCTTTTGATATTTCCAATTTTTTTTAATTTATGTAGTACAGATTAAAAATTGTATCCGCATCCTTTAACTTGTTCTGTCTCCTTTTCTTCCATCAGAGCCTTGCCCACCCCAAAACGTGCAGACCACTGTGCAGTGTCACAGCGACGTGGGCGTCGTGTCGTGGGAAGCCAGCTTTGGGGTGGTGGGCTACGTGGTAAGCCTGGCCGGACGTGACGGCCACTCTCTGTCCTGCTCCACCAACGAAACGTTCTGTACAGTGGAAGGCCTCCACTGTGGAGTCATCTACTACACTAACGTCATCGCCATCGGAGAGACGACCAACAGTGACGAGTCCACTACTGTCCTGCTGGTCTCAGGTATGCTGCTGTCAAACACTGGCTTCATTATAGTAATATATTACACAATGGAATATACTATATTATATGGAATACTCTTTGCCCTTGCTGACTGCTGTGAATCTGATCAAGTATTTCAAGTGAAAACATTAGAGGATAATAATTATACATCTGTTAAAAAAAAATTCAAACAGTCTCTTAAATTTCTCTCAGGTAGAAAAGTAACAACATTTGGTTTGGAAACACTCACATGGCAATATTTCATATACAAAATAAAAACCTCTTCATGGCTTGAATCACCAACTGGGTAAAGATAAGAGCCCTGTGCTTAGTAACTGAGCACTATTTTCAAAATGAAATGTATTCTGTTGATTCTCTGAAGACTAACACTGTAAAACAATATTTTGATGACTGTTTTTTTCTCCTTGTACAAGTTTTTGAGATAATCCTGATTTAAAGATGAAAGTAATGTGCCAAGGAATGTACTTCAGAGCATGCAAATGTAGGGAACACGGAAAGATAGCATTCAACAATAAAAACAATAATAATAAACATTTAAATTGCATATATTCTGCAGTAGTAAATGCATTAAATAAATCTTTGTATCCTTAAGAATGCACCGAATGTACATATAACTGCCCTTGTTAGAGAGAGAAAACCTCCTCAGGGTTGATTCGTATCTATTTTTATTGATAGTGGGCATTCCTAAATTACATACACGGCTTCCCAAAAGATTTGAAAATATGCAAAAAACAAACTTTTAAACGGCAGTAAGCAGGCCCCAAACTAAATCCTTGCATTTATTATTAAGTAATTGGATGGTGTTAACATAAGCGCATCATTTGCAGTTGATGTACTAGATTTTGTGTGAAGATCAATGCAGTGTGATCAATGAAATTTAACCCATATCCTGTTTGTCTTTCCGTCCCTTCTGTGTCCAGCTCCCTGTGCAGCTGAAAATGTCGAAGCTAATTTGGATTGCGACAACAACACAGCCGAAGTCTCCTGGAGCTCAGCCAACGGAGCAGACTCTTACACTGTGAACGCCGTAGAAGATGAAGGCCACGTAGCTTCATGTGAGACCGATGAGCTACAGTGTGTTCTAACGGGTCTGCACTGTGGTCACACGTATAACATCAGCCTCACATCCAACAGCGACCACTGCCAGACTGAGACAACAAATATTGTCACCTTAATCACAAGTGAGTTGAGAAACATCTAATCTCTACGTAGCTGGAGTTGAGTGAATTGATCTCTGATATTAACTCGACATGTTGTGCAGGACCCTGTAAACCGTTGCATGTTGCAGTAGACCAGCAGTGTGGGAACAGCACGGCCAACATGTTCTGGGAGGAAGGCAAAGGAGTGGAGCTCTACCTGGCTACTGCCACCTGCAGCATGGGAATGACCATGCAGTGCAACTCCACCAACTCCACCTGCAGGTTCTACAACTTGCACTGCGGAGACACATTCACGTTCTCTGTGACTGCGTACACTCACATGTGCTACAGTGACATCAGCAGCACTGTGGAGATCCAGACAGGTAGAGCTCATTATTCTCAAATAATTAAATAGTTGGGTTGTCCACTGATGGATTCAGGGATTGGGTTTTTGGTAACATAAAGACGAAGATTGTCCACCCTCATCACAGTTAGAAAAAGTGTCGTCTTAGTTGCTTTTCAAGAAGTTTCTCTCTACTCTATTTATTTTCTATTTATTTATTTTGCATGCAACAGTCCAAGAAAGAAAAACGGATTTAGGTGTCTAATTTCGGCAGTATTTAATTAAAACTGTCGAACAAAAATACCCAAATTGTAATAATTAAAAGATATATTATGTTTCATTGTGTCTAAACAATTGGTTTATAATAGTGGATTCATTGAAAGGTCGATTCATCTATAACAATATTAATAATTGATAAATAGTTTTAAATATTTCTTGAAACAAAATTCAGTTATTTTAGCATTTAAAAGATGAATAATGTTCAATAATACAGTATAACACTTTTTCTATACATTGTACAAAACAAATCGATTTAATATCTAAATGTTAAACTAGGGCTACCGGTTCTATGGAGATAAGAAAAACCCCTACTTTTATTTTCTGATATCATTTTTAATCAAATGTATTCATCATTTTAAAATGTTTTGCCATTTTGTCACCTACATTTCTGTCTGTCACCCACTTTTATAAAGACACCCAGACAATTCATCTTAGGTTTTTGTAATTGATAAAGAAAATGTTGTTCTCCAGAACCCTGCCAGCCGACTGGCCTGACAGTCAGTGGGTCATGTGACAACGATACGGTGGTGTTGGATTGGTCGGCGGCTAAAGGTGCGTCAGGCTACGTGGTCACCACCACAGGAGACATAGGATACACCTCTTCTTTCCAAACCAACGAGACAACGGTGGAGGCTGAGCTGCCGTGCGGACAATCATTCACCTTCACTGTAAAAGCTCAGGGTGACCGATGTGACAGCGCTGTGAGCCTGCCTCAAGAGTTCCAGACATGTACGAGTCTCTTTTATATTTTTGCTAATGTGGTGTACAATATATTCATATAAAAATGATGACGCAACAATACATCTTCTTCTCAGCTCCCTGTGTGCCCGTGCATGTCCAGAGCTTCACATCGTGTGAGGACAGCCTGGGCTCAGTTAGTTGGGCTGAGAGCGATGGGGCGGACTCTTATTTGGCCATCGCAGTTGGACAGGATGACCACACCCACATGTGCACCACAAACACCACCAGCTGCACCTGGGACGACCTGCACTGTGGGGACTTTTACACCGTCCACATCATCGCCAACGACTACATGTGCAGCAGCATGCCGAGCAACAGCACAACATTACGAATGGGTAAACAAGCTTTTGTACTGTGCACAACTAGAAGAAAGAAAAAACTGTCCTTAAATGTGAAGTCAAGGATTTTATTTTAACAGGGTGTGTTAAAGGCCAGACATTAACATAAGCAACATTTAAAAAAAACGACAGAATGGAAAGATATATTTGAAATGAACGTAGAAAATACAAAAGTTAAATACAATTGAGTAAAACCTGCTTTAAGTGAGGCTCTGAAATAATCTTAAGCTAAAAAGCACCTGCATCACCAAAACATCTGAAACAATAACAAACACAACATTTTTTACTCCTAGCTTTCCTAAATGATGATTTGTGTTCTGTTTTCTGTGTTGTATATAATTACAATTAAATTGATTGGCAGGGTTTTAAATGTTTGTAAGAAAAATCAAGACTTCCGATTAATCTCCTTGGTCTCAGTGAAAGTGTAACATGTGTTTAAAATTATGTTTGACCAAATTACTATAATTTATTATAGTAGTCGAGATACTAATCAGCAGATCAATGTAGAATGATAATAGTGTTTTTTTTGCAGCCTTAATCACAGCTAAACTTTTGTCTTCTGCTTTTAGCGCCGTGTATTCCTCAGAATTTGACAACCTCTCTGGACTGCACTACGAAGGTGAATATTTTACTATCACAAGCCATTTCTCTCAATGTTCATCTCTAGTAAAATTGTAAACTATTCTGTCTACATTTCTGCACTTCTGAAAGTGTTTGAATATATAAACTGAAAATGACTGACGATACTAATTAACTATAATAAATATATTATTATCTGTTTGTAAGGTGGGATCGCTGACCTGGAATGCCAGTGACACTGCTGAGTTTTACATCGTGACGGCAGAGTCCAACAGTGGCCACAAAGTGCAGCTCGGCACCAACGACACCTGGACCTTCATTTCTGAGTTTGAGTGCGGCCAAGAGTACTTCCTGTCTGTTCAGGCGGCAGACTCTGTGTGCACAAGCCGACCAAGTCAGCCATCAACACTTGAGTCAGGTAGATTACTATTTTCTAGCATAAAGTTACACTCTATTTTATAACTGTAGACATTTTTTATTGAACATTTTAATGACTAATATGACTCATTATTTCCTTATATTCTGTTATCTAGTTTGTTACTGATTGTTAGCTTTAAAACGTGTTGTTTTCTGTTCTCCCATCAGTGCCCTGCCCGCCCATTGGTGTCTCCAGCTTCATGAACTGCGGTTCTAACATCGCTGTAGTGTCTTGGACCGCCTCGGCTGGGGCGAAGTATTACACCGCCACGGTGACGCAGGAAGACGGCCAATCAATGAGCTGCTGGTCTGACAGCGAGCAGTGTGGCATGCCAAATGTCCAGTGTGGACAGAACTACACTGTAATGGTCGTCGCCTCCAACGAGGAGTGTAACTCTGACCCCAGTGAGGCCGACACACTGCAGTCAGGTGAGACCATTTTATCCTCTTCTTTTATGCCCTTTTTTATTCAGCAAACAGAAGGTCTGTAAATACTATTGGTCAAGTTTATTTTAGGTGCCTTTAAGGGTATTTCATGTTTAATTGTATTCAAAACGCTCTCAACTGTAGTTGTTTTCTATTGCCCATGCATGTGATATCAGACATCTTTAAAATTAGGCTTCTTTACTGTAGATGATCTCAAATGTTTTGTATCTCTATGACTAGATAATGAAACGTACCCCATTCTCCTCCCCCTGCCTTTTCCAGTGCCGTGTGTTCCTACTGACGTGGAGGTGACGATAGACTGCTCCAAAAATCAGGCTCTCGTTGACTGGAGTGCCAGCGAAGGGGCTCTGTCCTACAAAGCGACAGCTGAGAGCGTACAGGGAGCCTTGTCCTCCTCCTGCATCAGCACAAACCTGACCTGCACCCTCACCAACCTGACCTGCGGGCACACATACTCCGTCCAGGTGGTGGCTGAGGATGATATTTGCTCAAGTTTACCCAGCCCAGCTATAGACTTTGAATCAGGTAAACAAATTAATGGGCATGAATCACCTTTGGATGTTTACTTGTGAATCTGTTAAAGTGTTACTTCAGCCCTCCATTTCTTACCCCCCCCCCCTCTCAGTTCCCTGCACGCCCAGCATTGGCTCCGTGGCTCTGGACTGCTTCACGAATTCGGCCCTTTTGAGCTGGACTTACGCTGAAGGTGCCCTGGACTACACTGCAACAGCCCAATGTCTTGACGGCCAAGTTTCCACCTGCCACTCCAACTACACCAACTGCGAGTTGAAGGGCCTGCAGTGTGGTCAGACTTATGATGTCACCACTGTGGCTTCAAATGAGAACTGCAGCAGCCCTCCAAGTGCCATGAAACAGGTTGAGTCAGGTGAGCTCTCATATTAATGACACAACATGTTTAGACCATCCTTTCCACTGATATGGATGTGGTCTGAGACACAACTGACTTATTAGTTGACAATTCAGCCAGGAGAGGTCAGCCAGATAAAGATTTCCAGGTTGCTGTTAAGTTACTACAGAATATAAAGTCTGTTAAATCAATAAATCTGACTATTCCTTCTCTCCCTTTCCTCCTCCAGTGCCTTGTCCTCCTGAGGATGTTGTGCCTGTCCTGAACTGCTCCACCAACACAGCCCGTGTGTCGTGGCAGGCCAGCAAAGGGGCTGATTTCTATATTGTCCAAGCCTTCGGCGTGGAAGAACATGAATCTGTTTGCGAGACAGAGACACAGTCGTGTGTCCTACCAGAGTTCATGTGTGGCTTCACCTACAACATCAGCGTGATTGCTGCCAACAGCATCTGCAATGTCTCAAAGAGTGACGTCTCACATCTGCAAGCAGGTGAGGATGATTTAAGAGATTTAACACATTGAGGCCTTGGAGCAGGATAGGAGAAAAGTGAAAATATCTAATTGTATTCTATATACAGTACCCATCATAAAAATGGAAAGAAAGAAACACGTAGATCTTATGGTTCTGTATTCCATAAGGCTGAAACTAATTTAGGCAAAAACAAATTCTTGGCAGGTCTGATATTGCTAACAAAAGATGATTATTGCACCTTTTCTGATCCTGAATCAAATAAAAATGAATGTGTCTGTGCCTGTGCAGTGCCCTGTGTACCGCAGCAGGTGGAGGCCTGGTTGAATTGTGAGTCTGGCACTGTGGCCGTCTCCTGGGAGCCTTCTAAAGGAGCATCATCATACACCACAATTGCCCAGGGCAACGGGGGCTACGAGTCAACGTGCAACAGCAGCACAACAACGTGCATGTTCGATGACCTGCTGTGCGGCCTCAACTACTCCATCACTGTCAGCGCTTCAGATGATACATGTAGCAGCGCTAAAAGCTCTCCGTTGGTGATCAACACAGGTAGAATACCTGTAATAATGAATGTTATATTAAACCTCTTTTTATACATGTCTATGTTCATACTTGTCTGTGTGTGTGTTTGTGTGTGTGTAGTGCGGTGCATACCACAGAATGTGAAAGCAGAGATGGTGTGCAGTAATGACACAGGTGTGGTGTCGTGGGAAGAAGGAGAGGAAGTGTCCTCCTACATGGTGCAAGCTTTTGGGCCCGATGGTGACAAAATTAATTGTAACAGCACAACAACCAGTTGCCAGCTACCCAACATGCATTGCGGCCAGCTGTACAACCTCACGGTGACAGCTGAGGATGGACAGTGTGACAACAGCAACGCCTACCTCGACCTGCAGTCAGGTAAGATTATCAGTAGGGTAAGTGGCATTTTCTATGCCTATAGAGTTGAGTGAAACTGTTTTTTATTGGTTGTCTGACACTGTAAGTTACATTTAAACACTTTTATTATCTATTTTTAACTAAACATAGATAGTTAACCGTTTAATAGGATTGTTTTGGGATAATATTGCTGTTAGTAGTAATGGAAGGTCAGTCTCAGATAATAATACATTTGGTATGAGACAACGCACTGTAATATAACAGCAAAACATGTGACAGGGCAGCCTAGAGATGAAGATGTTTCATAGACCTGTCCTTTCGGGACCTGGTTAAACACCAGTTGGTAGAATAAAACGTTTTTTATTGGTAAACTTAGAGCTAAAGTTAGTTAGTGGACTTGATGGGTGTGTTAAACTTGCTTTGGAGAATAAGTATGCAACACTACAGTCAGATGAGAATTATCTGTTATTTATATCTCTTTTCTTCAGGCTTTTCTTAGGAAGAACAATTTAGTGTTTGATATTTGCTTGATTAGACAGAACATTCCAATGTTTAGAAATATTAGTTATAAAGGAACTATATCGCCTCACTACTCTTTTTTCTCTCTCCCAGTACCTTGCAGTCCGACCAACGTCAAGGCTTCCCTACTCTGCGACTCAAACTCTGCTGCAGTGACATGGGAGCGAGCCAGTGGAGCACTCACCTATCGTGCAGTGGGCGTGACAGAAGATGGCAGCCATCAGACTGAATGTAACAACACCATGACCTTCTGTGACCTGAGCGACCTGCAGTGTGGACAGACCTACAATGTGAGCGTGTACTCCCAGGATGAGTCCTGCTCCAGTGTGGAAAGCAACAAGGCTTACGTACGAACAGGTATTGTTAACATCTTGTAAAGGCTTGTTGTGACTTTATACAAATAGTCAGAGTATTATGTATTGTTTATTTTTTTAATCTTTGCCTCTCCCTGCCTCCCCCCTTTTGTTTTCCTTTCAGCCAATTGTCCACCCCAGAATGTGGTCGTTGATTCACAATGTGATGAAGGCACCATCGTTGTGTCTTGGTCCCCCAACACAGACGCCCAGTACTTCCATGTGGCGGCAGTGAGCAACACAAGAGCGAGACTGTACTGTAACTCCAGCGGCACTGCCTGCACCATAAAGGATGTACCATGTGGACAGAGCTACATGGTGACGGTGCTGTCTGTGAGGGATGGCTGTGAGAGTAAGCCCAGTGCTGTGGTAGAGACTTCCTCAGGTAAACCTCAAGCAGAAACCCAATTTTTTGTCAATTCAATGCAATTTATTAATACAATTGTTAGGATTTAGGACTGAGAGTAGGACAAAATTGCCAAAATAGGCGTTGTCAAGATTCTCCACAAGGGGGAGTAGCTGCCCAGTTATTTTCAGACCAAAACCAAGGCTTTAAATCCTGCGCCATCTAACGAAAAGTAAAGATATGGGTTCTACAAATTAAACACATGCAGCAACTGAAGGCAATAAGTGTTACAACTACCTTTCTTGAGACCAATGCTCAAGATATTTAGAAATAAATATTGGCCGAGAACCAGCGATGGGATTACAAACGAAAATAATCAGTCCTTATAGATGGTGCATATGTCTGGTGGTGTATCCACATGAACTACAGCTGCTGTTGTTATTTTATATGCCTGTATATGATACACGTTATCCGCAGATGTAAAGTGTGAAGGTGTAACGTTCTGAATTCCCTCCACAGCTCCATGTGTGCCCAGGAACATTGAGGGCCGACTGGACTGTGTATCCAACAATGCCTGGGTGACGTGGGACGCCTCAGAAGGAGCCCTCAGCTACTCTGTACAGGCCACGGGGGTCGGAGGTCACAACTCCAGCTGCACTTCCACCAGCTCTCCCTGTGCTGTCCCTGATCTTGAATGTGGGACACTTTACACCATCCACGTCACTGCCATCAACAAACACTGCCGCAGCAATCACAGCGCCACCTTTGAGCTTGAGACAGGTATTCAACATGATTCTCTTCTCTCAAAATAACAATTCAAAGTGCTGGCGTGTTGTCTTTAAAACTCTTCTAGAAAGTAATCAAGTAAATATTGTATCGTATTAATATATTACCAAACACACTCTTAATGTTGTCTGGGACATAACTGTTACACTGACATCATGGGTCAGTGGTTCCCACCCTTTTAATATTTTCAATAGCTTCCATGTCATGTGACTCCATATCAATGCAGCATAGTACGATAGTAAAGTTCTGGACTATTTCATCAAAACAATGCATTAAAACACTAAACACAACTTGTCCTTTGACACAACACATAGTCATTTGACCCATTGATTGTTGATAATATTGATGAGAGCAGCTTCAATTAAAATGTTTCCAGTATTCGAGATATGGCAGATAATTTCGGTTTTATTTGTGAAATGCACAGTGAATAGTGGTAGATTGGGAAGTGAGAACAGCATGTTGTGGGGAGTGAATAGTTTAATGGAAGAGTTGATAATTAGGAGTTAGGATACCTTTAAAATGAGTAGTGTTCTCCCCACTTTACAGCTTGTTGATCAAGCAGAGATGTTCCCTTCTAAAACCACAGATTGTTTAATTGAATAGTTGTCTGCAATAAAACTGTTATATAAAATAATAATTTTTGAAGGAGAACAAGGATTTTTTCTTCACTTTTCTATCCCTCGAATCATTGTGTAACCTCTCAAATTAATGTTATGACCCATTGGAGGGGTGGTGGCCCCTACTGTATGTTGAGAGCAGATTGATTGTTAGAACTGATCATCTGCAATATAGTTTTTAATTTTAATTGGAGCTTTATAATATATTATCTTATCAAATGTACATCTCCTTACTCAAAGTGAAAAAATCATCAGTGATATCGAAAGGAATATAAAAGTATGTGATGGTTTTAAAGGGCTTATGAAGGACTAATGCTATAACTCATAAAGGCTTATACCATGGTGCCATTTCTGAAAGTTATGAAAGAACAAGAAATTAGGAGAATACAAGGCTTAACTGTTCTAAAATGTACTTGACTCTGACTTATTTTATTGAGTATTTCATACTGCTTGTGTTTGAATCCTCATGCTATCCTTTTTCTTATGCGTCCTGTCCCATAGGTCCTTGTGCTCTCACATCTATTAGCGCAGTGACAGAATGCAACAGCAGCACGATCCTGGTTGAATGGGAAAAGATGGACGACACACCCCTCTACCTGGTGACCGCTGAGGGCCACGACCAAACCCTCATTTCCTGCAACAGCTCCTCCAACTCCTGTGTACTGCGGGATATCCACTGTGGCATGCATTATAGCATCATAGTATCAGCTTCTTCTGATAAATGCAGCAGCCTCAGAAGCCCTCCAAAGAAGATCAAAACTGGTAATTAATTCGCCAGTATATCTAGAACTAGCGTTTCTCTTAGTCCTGGGTCAATTACTCCTGGATGTGTTTATCCTGTTTAGTCAACCACATCCTGTTTTTATTTAGAAACGTTTTATTTAAATAGACCGACGAAAGACGTTTTAGTCTTATATTAGTAAAACCTATTTCACATATAATTTTATTTCCCTTATTATCCTATCATAAATACAGATACTCTTCTTATTTGGGTCCTCCTGACTTGGCTCATTGGTGATTTGTATTATGCACAAATATTAAACTACCGAAACCCGACCACACGACAGACAGAAACAGACTTTTTTAATTGAAATAAAATAATAAAAACTCTATTTATAAGAATTGTATGTAAAGTAGTTATATGCAAAACAATTTTACAAGACATGCTTGAGCAGGGCATTTGAAATTGCCTCAAACTATACATAAACTCAATCTAGTCTATATACAGTAATGGATAGGTTGTTGGCAGTGTGTCAAGTTTTTCTAGTTGCCAGGGGTATTGTCATTGCTGTTGTTTCTTTATGATATTTATGTGAAATTAATTATTTCGTGGACACCCGGGAAGAGATGAAGCAGCTTGTAATATAAAAACAAAACAAAACCATAAAACGTTTTCTCTGCCCTCCTTAGCGCCCTGTGTCCCGGAAAATGTGACAGTGGAAGCATCGTGTGAGGAGAATGGGGCCACAGTGATGTGGGGACCCTCCCCTGTGGCGACATCGTTCTTCCTGACAGCAACAGGGAGGGACGGACATGTTGCGAGCTGCGACACCTCAGAGAACAACTGCACCCTGACTCACCTGCACTGTGGACAGCTCTACAACTTAACCATCACTGCCAGTGGAGACAACTGCACCAGCCAGCCCAGCACCTCCACCTTCAGGACAGGTAGAGACACAATGGGATATTTGTATTTATAGGACATTAAAGTGGTATATTGAAATCAGACAACAAGACAATTGAAACATCAAAGAGTGGAGGTAAGGAGGATTTTCCGGCAAGACATTTTCTATTATGATACTCCAATATTCATAAGTTATCAATTTTCAGTGTTTGAAAAAAAGCTTTTACTATTGTTACTATCGTTTACTATTATTCTGTTACTGTATTCATCAATATAATTAACAATATGTACCATTTAGCTGCTACTTTCTACAGTTTTGTTTCTACTTACTACACTGAATTTTACTGGACTTTACACTTTACTAATTACCTCTCCTAGTTAGATTTATCTCTCCCTTTCAAATCTTAGCCAACAAGGATGAGTTAACATTATTGCCAAAAAATATAGAACCTGCAAACCAACTTTTCCTGATCAAATTTCTGATTGGAGTTATTTCCTCTCTGTGGTCGCAGTGCCCTGTGAGCCTTCCGGTCTCGCAGTGGATATGGATTGTGAAACCAACTCTGCCATGCTGTCTTGGGATGCCAGTGAGGGCGCTGTGGAGTACTTTGCCTGTGCCCAGTCTATGGATGGAGAGGCGTTCTACTGTGAAAACACTGCAGCTTACTGCATCATTGAAGGCCTGAAATGCGGAGGCGTTTACAATTTCTCTGTTGAAGCTTCAAACGGCGTCTGCAACAGCTCGTTCAGTCCACCTCTGCAGGCGGGAGCAGGTAAAAAAAATTGATATTCACCATAATGGTCAAACTAGTTGATTTAGTTCATTTTTACACAAATAAACTTAATTGTTGAGTGGTGAATATATCAAAATGAGTCCTAGCAGAAAGTACAGAGAAAAAGTGTATGTCATGTTTTCAAAGGGATACATTTAACAAGTAGTTGCTCTGAAGAACAAGGGCTAGAAATGTTTTCTTGGCTAATTTAACTGGTAAAATGCTCAACTTATCTCTTCCCTCCTTAGCTCCATGCCCTCCAACTGGTGTCAATGTCAGAATGCAGAAGATAGACCAAGGTCACTGGGCCATGACGTCATGGGACAGCGTCAACTGTTCTGATGTTGAGTACCAAGCGAAGATAACCGGCCGAATCCAAAACAACCCACAGTCCCTGATGGATGTCTCTTCTTACTGGCTGCCCAGGAAATACTTTGAGTTCCCAATGCCTTGCAGCACCGCTTATAATCTCACTGTACGCTCCAGAAACGCAGCTGCAGTCAGCGGACAACCCAGTGCCTTTAGTGGAGTCACAGGTAATGCTAGACTGCAATTAACCCCAACCTTATATACAATAGAAGATCAATTGTTTTTTTGAACTTATAAATATTTTTATTAAAAAGAATCTTCCTTTCTCTTTTGAGTCTAGATTTATGTGAAAAAAAGGAAAAAAGGTCAACACTATACTCTTCTATACTCTATAATTTATTTGGAGTATACACACATTAAATAGCTCGCTTAAAACACACTAACATGTAATTAGATATACTGAAAGTAGTTATTTATGTATTTGTCATAAATACAAATTTGGAGGCTGATGTATAGCAATTGTGAGACTATAAAACATATCTTCATAAGAGAAGTTTTAATTGTTGACAAATTATTTACATTTTTAAACACTAATTTGTCTTTATATCAGCTTAAAACTAGTTATTTTCTGTAACACAATTACAGTGTGTTACAGTATGACTATTTATTTATGTTGGTAAACTGCTTATTAATGTGAAATAGGGCTGAAATTAAGCCTTCAAATTATGATCGATGTTTTAAATGTAACAACAGTCATTATTTTAACTTCATTTCCACTGTGTTCCCAGTCCCCTGTGCTCCGCAGAATGTGCAGTTCACCGGTGACACAGACCCAGCCGAGCTGTCCTGGAATGCGTCAGTGTTTGCCACAAGATACAATGTCTACAATTTGTCAGGGGGAGATCGAGTTGAGCTTTGCAGCACCACCGGGCTCTCCTGTCAGCTGACCAACTTCGATTCTGACGCCACTGGAGTGACGGCCAGCAATGAAGAGGGAGAGAGCATCCTTAACCAAGATATTACAGGTGAGACAGGCAGGGCCAAAACATCAGACTTGAAATATCTGCCTGGCTCTCACAGAAAAAAATTATGAGGTGTGTGTTTAATGCATATTCCTCACCTTCCTTAGGTCCAGCAGGAGCTCGCAGAAGAAGAGATTTGCAGGACAGTGCACACTATGCCAGTTTAGACAAAGGTCAGTGTAGTGTTATTACTGTACATCACCTTGAAAAAGTATGTACTATGATCTGTACTATAAAACAACTGGTAATATCTTACCCATCTTTCTCACAGATCTAAAAACTCCGAAAGTGCTGAATGTAAAAGTAAGTGGACTTTCCTTGTATGTGAATTGGACGTCAGTGATGGATGCAACCGAGTACAAAGTTGTGATCGAGGAGCAACAGAAAGACCAGCAGGCCAATCAGCAACCTAGAGTGAGAATCGTGGAGGGTAATTTTTACAAAGAGAACGACCTCAAGCCGCGGACCAACTACTGCATCAGGCTGGCAGCCAAAAACACCGTCAACCAAAGTGAATACTCCAAGCCAATCTGTAGAACCACCGGTGTCTCCTCATGAAAAATCACAGATCCACTTAAATGGACACTGGACTCAGCAGAAATATCTTCTTAATTGTTATATGTTTGTTTTCTTCACTCTGTAGCATCCTTAACACCATTTTAAAGGTTCAATCTTTAAGAAACTTTAAAAGTAAAATTGTAAAAAAGAAAGTTATTACTACAAAACTACAAAACAATTATTCTGTTTCATCTCAAGAATGCATCACGATCAAACCTATGGCGAAACATTTTAGATTTGAATGCTTATTAATCAATTTTTTAGTAATAGCATATATACATTTTCATAACTGTGGCTGGTATCCTAGAATAATAAAGTATTGCTGAATATTGTATTTATCAAAAATGGATTTATTTTTAAGATTGACCATTAGATTCTGTGGATGATTGCTAAACTAGAAAAGTAGTAAACAAAATAAACTGGTAATTTATCAAGCAATATTTTTCAAAGACATTCAGTATATATTCTTAATGATGTCCTATGTGCCTTCTCACTTTGTGAACACTTTTACAGATATTGAGTAAAATAAATCTGTGAAACATTAAAATATCCCTCTGTGTAAACAAAGATGTTTGAAACCTTCCTTTAAAAAAAGAAAATCTAAACTCAATGTATGTGTGTCTGAATCCATCCAAAGCTAGTGAGCTGAAAAGGTCTTGCAATCTAATAATCCTATTCTTGAGTTGAGACATTTATCTCTTACTGTAACTCCTTTATTCGAATCATCTTTCATGTTTCCTTCCCTCTCTATCTCCATCTTGTTCCTCCCCAGACACCTTTTCCCATCAGCTTTTTAAAGGTCACCTATTATGCAAAATCCACTTGTTCGTGTATTTTATATATACATAAAAATGTGTCCCCTTTCTCTCAATTTGTCCTGATCCATCTGTACAAAAACCTGTTGGAAAATTAGCTGAGATTTTGGCCACTTTGTGATGTCACAATTTTATTTTGGGTTGTTGGGTTCTGTATTCCCGTCATCATACAACAACTTATTTGTGTTGTTTTTGACCAAATACCTGTTATGCTTTATTGGTTAAATAGGACATTCCTATCAGCCTAAGTAACCAACCAAGGTAACACCCGCCCAACTTATCACCTGAATCTCCTCCTAGAGCACCATTGTGTTTTTTTAAAACAATCATCTCGAAGAGAACCATGGGGTGTGGCAGTTCATTTGTATTTAAAGCTAGACACAGAATTAGCACTTTTGAAACAGGGCTGAAACAGAGGGGTTTATGGCATGCTACAATTCATGATCTGTTTGGTATGTCGAGCCAAACACTTCAGAGACATGTTTAGTATATATCTGAGGCCTCTAATATATTGTTGAGAAAGAGTATAATAGGGGACCTTTAACTTTGAATGATCACCCCCCATTACCATTCACTCCCCCACAACATGCTGTTCTCACTACATCCCCCACCCTCTTTTGAACTACCACTTTTCATTATGCATTTCACAAATAAAACCAAAACTATCTGCCATAACTCGAAGATTGGAAACATTTTAATTAAACCTGCTTTCATCAATATTATCTACACACAATGGGTCACAAGGCTATGTGTTGTGTCAAAGAACAAGTTGTATTTAGTGTTTTTAATGCATTGTTTTAATGAAACAGTCCAGAACTTTACGGTTTTGTATAAAATAGAAGGTGGACTACAATCCAACAATATACTACTTGTCCAGTGTAGTAATACAATGCTGCATGATTTGGAGTCACATGGAGCCTATTGAAACAATTGCTGAATTTTAATTAAAGTATTCATTAAACATTTTTTAAAAGAGGGCAAAAACCCAATAAAAAGAAAAGTGTCCAACTCATCCAATGTATTCATACCCAATGCTGCATTAATTTGAAACATAATTGTGTACCAGGCCAAGCAGAATGTGTACATATATGGATAAGGTAAGTCAATAGATAAGCAAAAAGCAAAAAAAAAAAAAAAAAACAATAAATAACATCATTCGTCCTTAGGATATTTCAAACTTAACATCTGGAAAGTACAACACTTGTATTAGAAAGTGAGTGCATAATAAAACATGGTTGAGCTGAAACAAAATCAAATAATCTCCAGTCCTGAGAGCACTAGTTTTGAAGGCTACTGACCTTTAATGTCAGAAATCAGAATCAGAAACAGGTTTATTGCCAGGTAGGTTCGCACATACTAGGAATTTGACTTGATGTCATGGTGCATACATAAAATATAAAAAACAAGAAATCTAATATAAAACAAAAAATATTTTACACCGTAATAAAATATAGTTAAATAGCAATAAAAAATAAAATAAAGCAGCAATTTACATGGAAATAGAATATTAACCAAGGTTACCTCTACTGAAGGCCAGCTGATACAATTATAAAAATCCTGCTTCCAAGTAGCATTTTACACAGGAAAAACATGTTGGCAAAGACCACAGACTCAATAACAGCGCCTTCTTGTGGACGGCGGGGCTGCCTGTGGTTAGCTAATTGACTGTCTTTTTTCTTAATACAATTTGAAGTCGAAGATGGGATTGTTCACTCCGGCGCTGCACAGACAGAGACATCAGTTTGTCATCGATTTTGTCAAGAGGAAGAAACCCAAAAAGGTAAGTAAGTGAGAAACACACTTTATCCGCTTAGCCAACATTTGTTAAGCAACGTTTTCTAACGATATCGCCGTAGCTCATTTCTGCATGCACCGCATGTGAGCTAGGTTTATTCGCACAACATAGCTAATTCAATTTATTAGCATTCGGCTAAACTGAGTTTTGTTTGAACTTTTATGTTATAAAATTAACATTAGTTATGTGACTTCTACGGACCAGCTTATACTTAGTCACAAACATCTTGTTTCTCCCTGCTCCACCACAGGTGTTGGACTTGGGCTGCTGTGAGTGCGTTCTTCTGAAGCAGCTGAAGTTTCACCGTGAAATTGAACTGCTGGTTGGACTGGACATCGATGGTGTCCAAGTAAAAAAAAAGATGTAGGCTATGTATGTTTAGAAAATCAAAATGCATGAGTTAAATATCTGGGGAGAGCCTTTATTGATTATAAATGTTACGATATGGCAGATTTATGCAGAGGTGAAAACAATTATTGGTCGAGTTTATCAGCAGAAAAATGTAAATATATTGGCTGGATGTAGCTTTTTAGATGTGAATACTTTAAAAATACATTTGGATATGAATTGTCCAACCTATAGAAAATGTGAAGGCCATTCTTCACTTTCCTCTTGACATTGTAAAGTTTAAAATGATCAAACAATTTGACGATTATAACACTAAATACAGTTATTTGCAACCCAAGATGTATGCAAATGCGTCTCAAATAGTGAAATTGATGGTCACTGCAATGCTCCTTTCCACCACCATGCATTTCACTTTATTGTTGTTGTTGTGATCAGTTATACTGTGTGGATTTATAATGTGTGCACCTTGCTTGTATGTCCTTCAGGCATGGATTAGCTCCTATATCAACTGACTATCTGCAGCCAAGTTATGATCAGCTGCGCATCGAGCTGTACCAGGGCTCCGTCACTGAGAAAGACGCACGCCTCAGAGGATTTGATCTGGTGACCAGTATAGAGCTGTAAGGGAGTGTGTGGTTGTTGCAGTTCAATGTCTTCAAGGTTCCTTCTTTAGCACCTGTTAGTATTTATATTAGTATTTTTGTTTGTAATTTACCTATATGGTGCAGTGTTTCCCCTAGGATGGAGTCATAGCAGCGGTGCTAAGGCACGTGGGCCAAGTATAATGTGAGCGCGGAGCGCGTGGAATTTTTTAGTGTGTGCGAAGTGCGCCCCGCCAATTTGTTTCTCTGCGTCTGCCAGCACAAGAAAGGGTCTTGAGGCCTAGTACCACGGCCGGTTCTAGCCAATTTGCTGCCCTAAGCGAGATTTTATATATAAATGAAAAATCTCTACAAAAGACAAATACACTACAAAAACAGAAACTTATTGATAGATAATATACGTCAAAATGGCTTGAAATGTATTCAGTATTGTATGAACATGTTTGAATTGGGGGGTGGACGTCACATCCTCTAGGGGGGTCTGGGGGTATGCCCCCCGGGAAGATATTTTTGAACATTTTAAAGTAAAATGCTTCAATCTGGTGCACTTTGAGCACACAATTACTAGAGACCTGATCTAGGGGGTACAACTCTAAAGCATCCATATGAAAAAGATCGGTTTACATTTTAATAATCAAATAAGTATATGAACATAACCAATAACCCATAGTCAATAACAAATAAATGTAACTTATTTTATTTTTGTTGTTCATTCATATCTTATTTTACCAGTTAACATTTATTTATTCATGCATATTTTTGTATCTCTTCAACTTTAAACGATATTTTTGGTTTACTGTCCTACAGTATAGTATACATTGGAATGATTTCAAACCTGTTTTTATTTATCCTAATAATGATAAAGGAGTGCCTTGGAAATATGTGTTTACATAATTTGTGGTCAAAACGTTTGAGACCCACTGAGATAACTTAGACTAAAATGAACTAAACACTCAGAGAGTCCTTTACCTCACTGAGCCTCTCAGTCTGACAGGAGAGCTCTCCTCCACCCTGGTTGTAGAAACATCTACTTCTTATATCCGTTAGCGCAGCTAGCACCAGATTCTAATAACAACAGCGCCGGTACCGGTGCGCCCTCTCTCTCTCTCTCTCCCTCACTCGCTCCCACGCTCGCACTTTGGCTGTGAGCTGCGGGCGCCTGATAAGCCAACATCCCCCACTTTCATCACTTACAGTGAGTGCCCATCGTACAGGGCAAATGAAAAGTGTAACCGGGGTGAAAAGGGTGTTACATTTACTTAATTATGAATGTTGTTACATCAAGGCCAAAAATTAGGATGAGTGCCAACGGTCAAAAAGGTTTTTTCCCCTCCCAGAGCTACCAGCGCAGCGCCCCCCAGATCTGGCGCCCTGGGCGACCGCCTATGTCGCCTATGCCAAAAATCGGCCCTGCCAGTACATACAGTGGCAATGTCTCAAGATTTAGCAAAAATACACCTTTATATACAGTAACACAAATACTACAAATCCACATAACAAACAATCAAAAATGAAAAAGGGTCGCTACTTATTATTATTTTAATTAAAAAAATAAAAAATAAATATTTTTTGGGGTACTTGGCTGGCGCCCCCTAGCAGCGGCGCGCATATTTCAGCAGCGGCGCTGCGCCGCCACTATTTCTATATAGGGGAAACACTGTGGTGTTGTCTTTTTCCTCACTACAGTATGTTCACCTAACCATCTATCGTTGAGGTGTTTTTATCTATCAGTCATTCGACCCATGATCTGACCCCCATGTTTCCTGTCTGTCTGCAGCATTGAGCATCTCACTCTTGCTGATGTGGAGCTTTTCTCTGAGGTGGTGTTTGGTTACTTGACACCTGAGGCGGTTATCGTCAGTACCCCAAACTCTGACTTCAACCCCTTTCTCCCTGGACTTGTGGGTTTCAGGCACAGTGACCACAAGTTTGAGTGGACCAGAGCAGAGTTCAAGTCCTGGTAGGCAGGTTTCTCATTTTCAGACTTAGAGTGTAGCGAATAGCACTACATTGATCGTGTTGATGAGGATGGTAGTGACAGGGAATGTAAATGGATACATTTACTCTAAAATACATCAGCACTGTACACTGTAGATATTTGGTATTGTGGTTTTTATAGTATCTTTTTTCAGATTGTATTGATATTTTTATGTTATGAATGTATGTTTTTTACTTTTGCATTACTTTGCCTGCATTTTTTATTTCCTCTTATGTTTATTGTATTCACCAAGGCCAATTCTTTCTAAGAGAAAACCTACATGGCTACCTTATTCTGATTCTATATATCAGTGGCGAACCGTGTCTATCACAACTGGACCTTCTGTAGACACACACACACCCCCCCGCCGCCACGCCGCCCCCCCTCCGCCGTTATAATGTCCGTCTTTTCACTGAATTGCAGTCTTGAAAAGGGTACTCGCAACAATTCCGCAACTACTTCATCTTCACCTGTTGCGCTTGCCATTTCAACGTTAAAAACAATAAAACGGCATATGAATTGCTTCGTCGCATTAATCTAGATCCTCTGTCTCGAGCCAGTGAACTACCGGGCCTTCTAGAGTACCCTGGAACCGAGGGAAACTCTGAAAGAATACGCCCATTGGCTACAAATCAGTATATGATTGGTTGATCAAACTGTCAATCCAAACGTACGCTCTCATTCAGTGCAACGGCCAGGGCATTCTATCAAGGATATAGAATACCTTGGTTGAAGGATATTCTACCCAGAGACCCAGAACAAGATCTGATTGGTTGCATTTCTTTTCTAACACAAAACCACTGAAATGCGTAGTGCATGGACCGAGAAGAACAAACAAATCAACGTAACACTGTAATATTACAGATCAACAACACAGATACGATTCTCATTTATTCATTTTATATACATTTTATTTATATAATTAAATCGATTTTTTACCTTGAAGGCCCTGACGGTTCGCCACTGCTATATATATATATATATATATATATATATATATATATATATATATATCCCCTAATGAAGGAAAGAAGAATCTAACTATTTTGTCAACATTACAACCCTCCTTAGGGCTATGAAGGTGTGTTTGCAGTACGGTTATGAGGTGGAGTTAACTGGTGTTGGACAGGCACCTCCAGGTCAGCAGGAGCGCGTTGGCTTCTGCTCCCAGATCGGTGTGTTTCACCGTCTCGGGGGCAAAGAGCGTTACAACATGTTTGATGAAGATGCTGAGGATGTGTTTTCATACACTCTTGTGAGTAAACGTCTTTATACACCAGTCATTTTTGAGTCAGAGATCCAGTCTTCAAAGAAACAACCTGTTGCTATCTAACTGAATAATGGTGACTTTGTTCCCCTCTTTCCCTCCCTGCATATTTCTGGCTGCCCATTATTTCAACTACAAAGTAAAGGCAACAGAAGTATAACATATTTTTTCTCTTTTCCTCGCTCAAACACCTCACTTGGTTGTTGTATTTTATTATAATGTATTCAACTTACAAAAGTGTTCTGGTTGTCAGTGGTTGTTTACAGAATCCCTTTAGGCTGTTAGCTCATTATTAGATCAACGTAGATTGAAGTACTGATGAAAACGTCTTTACAATGACCCTTCTCTTATAACTAACCTAAACTGCATATAAGCCTGAGGCACACATACTTCTCCTTGATTTTGTATTATTTATCTTATATTTGAGTAAAATAGATGTTTATTTTTCAGCTGTATAGTATAATCTACCCCAGCCTGCATGACAACAACATCTTGCGGAGGGTCCTGATGTGTGAGGTAGTTTACTGGGCGGAGAAGCTGAAGAGAAGATGGATCGCAGAGGAGACTGGCGAGAGGGATGACACATATGATCTGTGCCAGGCTGAGGGTGAAGGGGGGGAATGCTTCAGAGCATCGGAGAGACACGTGGACACTGAAGAGACACAGACAGGTGAACACCGGTCCTTAAAAGGTTGTATACAAAATTTGGTTTGAAAATCCTAAATGGGAAACAGGCATTGAGGTTATTTTTGTCAAATCCTTGTGTGTGTTTTCTGCAGGATATCATTGTGTATAGTACTGCCTAGCGGCTTAAGTTACAATGTTCCTTAACAGATAAACACTTAGTCACACACAAACGTAATCATTTTCTTAAAAAACATGTTTCACAGCAGCATGTGGAGCAGAGATGAAAACCCTGGTGGATCAGGAAGAGGGGGATGGAGAGCTGTTTTGGACACCCAGCCAACCGGATTCTGACAAATGGCGCAGGTGAGTTTCCTAAAGCAAGATGAAGATGAGTTATAAGGCCGTTTCTGGAATGCAGATCATGAACACAGGCCTTGTTCATGGGTCCTCTCTACTTTTGGCTGGCCGTGAAGATGTTGCCATTCCTGATACACAGTTGTTTCATACATTACATGTTTATCCATGTTACCAACTATTTAAAAATTATCAATGTGCCACAGTAAACTGCTGTAGTCTTTCAAACTCCTATATTCTTAAATATCAATACTTGTGTACATTTCTATTTGAGCTATATTGCACAGTATCGGTTTTGTTCAGAACATTGAATTAGAATTCTGTACAGGTTTTTTTCTTTTTCAAATTTCTATTTTTGTTTTAACCCAGTATGACTGCCTAGCTGCAGAAACATACACTAAATGAATAACCATTTAAAACTTTTTTTATAATTAGTTTCCAGTCTAGCAGCAATTGCAGCAAACTGATTGGTTTAAGAAAAGTTGATTTGATTTAAAAAAGCTTTTGATAGAATATGACGACAGACAAAGCTTCATTCGAAAACCTCAATGGGAGTTTTGAAAGTAAAAAAAATCTAGCACAAATGTCATTGATATCCCGGTTGAGAAATATTTCCAAAAATCTGGCATCACCTTATCACCGATAACGTCCCCCTTTGTGTGTGTTGGCAGGCGTGTGTCTGTCCCTCTGGCTGTGCTCTGGTGCTGCTGCCCCAAAGTCAGCCTTCTGAGTGGAAGTGTCAGTAATCTCAGACTCCTCCTGATGGATGAACCCAGAGTTAAACTGAGCCAGGACGGCTCTGCTGTGCTCCTGAATCACCAGGAACAAGGTAATGTTACCAACACCAGTGTCTGTTATAGTGTGTGTAAAACATAAATATTTACACCTACAGGAGGGAACTTGACCACCATGTTATAAAAAAATCTGAGTATAATATGTCATAAAAAAGTCACTGTGAACAGCAACTGGACCAGTAATAATAAAATGCTAAAATGTATATTGTTTCCACTTGACCCAGACCCAAATGAACTGGACTGCAGGACTTAAAGCATCTTTGTTAATTAAGTAGTTCACAAAGTTTGCCCAATCACTAATCTTACAACTTAGCTCATTACACTTCCAAACAAAAGGCATCATGAGCAGAATTGTATTGTGTGTATGTGTATTTCCTGCGCTGCTGCTTATTCTATGAATTTCAGAACTTAAGGTTGTTCTGGTTGTGACAATGTTCCTTCATTTGTGTGTTTCAGACCTTGATGATGATGATGAAGAAGAGCATCGTGCTGATTTTGAGGACAGCGGATATGCAGAGGCCCGCCAGTGCCCCCCCAGCGCTGAACCAGCGGAAGACTGGGAGGCAAATGTTTGATCTGAAGTGGGTGACTTCTTGAGTGAGCAATAGTTTACCTTGGTTACTACTGGACAGTCTCTGTGTATTCACATAACAGGCCTTTAGAATAGGAATAAGCTGAAGGATCAAATGTAAATTGTAAAATAAAAAGTGAGAAGAAAAAGGTCACATTGTAATTGTTTTACATTATACCCAAGTTGAAGTGCAATCTAAAAGAGGTCAAGGTTTTTAACAGTTTTATTCAACAGTGCCATGTACACATTTGAAGCATCCAGTATACTCGTATAGGAAGCAAATGTTGGTCAAAAGCACAAGTCTGTAACAGGAAACACTGGACAGTGTCATAACAGCGCAGAACACCACTTCACAGGAGAATACACTTTACAGTTTTATATAGACAACAGCTTCACAGAAGAGAAGAAGAAACCATGTCTGTAACAACATGTTCGGTACCAAGATAATCACACCTGATGATCACAGGTAAAACTCAATATATTTTATCTTAAAAAAAGAAAATAAACTTCCAATAGTTGATATTTGGTTACCATAAATCATAAACTTAACACTGTCTTATGCAGTGAGAACATTTGTTTTCCAAACAATACAATATTTAGCAAAAATATGGCACAATATCAGCAATTCATGATAAAAAAGAAAAAGTTTTCTTTTATAGATGAGATTTCAACATGGGACATTTACACCATACCAAAAATGAAAAACACAAAATGAAAACATGGATTTACAGTTACATCATACACGGTGCAGATATCTGCTGTTAACATGACGACAAAATGTTTTCCTACATGCTGAATAGGCAAGCAAAATGGTTCCTTCGATGTGTTCAATATTCAGATTAAAAGATGGCACGACATCAAATTAGGACATATATGAATATGTGTCAAGTTCTGCAAGCCAACAAAAGGACGTCTTAATCATGCAGAACACACCAACGTAAAAACAGAACACTGACGTATAGTTAAAACACCATACACTGATGAAGCTTGTGCGGATATTGATATAACAAGTAGTTTATCTAGAAGAGGAGGTATCCTACCTCTACTATGGCTTATGACGGGAGACAGAATATTACAGATACTGTACGGTCTGTTATCACTAGTTATAAAGCGGCTAATATTCTCATTATGCATAGGGCTGTCAAGATAATAACAGTGTGTTGTGTACTTTGGCTAATTTGCTTATGAACTGAATACATTGTGCACCTAATCTCCTATTAGGCTGGATGACATTTTCAGTAGATTTATATTGTTTGATCACATTTGAGCACTAATCGTTTATGTATTGATTGCGTCGGTTAATCGGACTGTTCTTACAGTTCAGATGTTCTGAGGTAAAGATACACATGTTTTTTTATCTAAAAACAGGTGCAGTTGAGTATTTTCTTCATGGCAGTGGATTACTGAACTAGTCCTTCACTTTACAATCTTTCTCTGTACAATCCTTGAGTGATACAAATTACGATATGCGTCAGTTACACAGGTTGAATTGTTAGTACGTCACAGGATCTTCCATTTGTTCACAGATGGTAGCTTCCTGGTCAACAGGCCAGCTCAGAAAGATGTAGTTAACCTCGCTAAGCAGTTATACATTAGACACATAGCAGAAAAGCTGGGCATTAGATATATGCCCTTTTTATAGTCGTTTTTATCATAGAAGCCCCTTTTTATGCTCTCTATTTACAGCCCTACAAAGGCAGACAGCTGTCACTTGAGAAGAAAGGCAAACTGCTTAACAGACAACAAAGTTGTAATACCGTCCTTCATTTTAACAATTAAGGCGGATTATATTACCAATAAAATTAGTTGCCATAGGATTAAGATAATACAAAAAAGGGCAAAAATAAAAACAGATACTGTACTTGGTGTTTGGATAATCTTTAGAGGATTTTGAGAGGAAAACAGTTTGTACCATCATTATGTGTTATTTCAGCTTTATTTTCCTTTTAAACTTTTAATCTTTGTTAAATGTTTATAGTCTTTAGATTATATAAGATAAATGTATTTCTGTTTGTTCTGTTATAATATATTTATAGTGAAATCATTTATATATGTGATTTTAAGGTAGCTTAGTAACACCAACGCACCTAAATATAAGTAAAAGGCAAAGATGGAGGTAATTAAGATGTGCTGAGAGAGTGAGATCAAGAAACTGAATTACTTAGATGTCAGTTATTGTCCTAAAATCTAGATTTGAAAACCCAAGTTCTGAACAAATGTATTGATTCTGCGCTTGCCTTTGTAGGGCAGATTATTTCTGCAGGATTTACCAAAATAGTGCTCAGCAAACAAATACTAAGTCAGCAAATTCTTATGTTCTCCCAATTTCTCTTTGAAAGTACCAATACAGCAATTCTTACAAGAGATTGTGTTACTGCTAATTATAAAATGTGCCACATAGCAAACACATTCACACACGCGTTCACTCGTCAAATAGCTGATGCCTCTTCTTTGTAGTAAAATATTCTCAACTTCCAAAACTGTTATCAGAGTGCCAACAACTACAACGTTTAAGCAGCGTATAGGTGAATATTAAAAAGAACACCCTATTTGAAAAGGAAGCCTAAAACAAACACTGAGAGACTAAAGGAATGTATTGAAAGCGCATTGCATACTCCTCTTCAGTGTGAATTTCAGTGCCATGATGCCCACATCAATAACTTGTCGTCTTCAAGTTCCTAAACGTTTAAAATGGGTTTGGTTTGAATGCTCACTGATAAAGTGTGACCTCAAAAAGATTAGTCTAGAAACACCTAGAAAATGAGGCGTGGACAGTTTTCGTTACATGTTATTTTTTCAATATCATATCTGTATGTTCACCTTCTCTGGGAGCTACAGTGTCGAAAAAGACATATGAACACAGGAGGGCGCTGTTGTCATGTCAACCGTTCAGAGTGATCAGGCGCGCTGTAGGAATGCAGATTGATATCGACACAGGCTTGCCTCGATGTCATCGGTGTGAATCCCCATCTTTGAGGCTGCAGGTCTTAACGCTTTATCACCACCTGCTCGTACGCTCCAGCACCAACCCTGGGATAACCGGAAAAGACAAAGTTAACTTGCATATCTCACCAGGTCATTATTTAAATACAGAAAATATCATCAATACACAGTAAAATGTGCTAAAAGTTGGGTTAACTTTCCTCTGGTAGTCAGCTCTTTATGTTAAAATGTGTTTTAACCTCTCACCTGCCCCTCAGTGGGTGCTTGTGCCGTTTTATATACTGGGCACCATGCCAGGCTAAGCTATTCTCTACCTCTGACCTAACCTACTTTAAAGCTGCCTTCAACTCCCACTCTACCCAAACAAAGAGCAGATCTCAACTTGACCCGACCTTATATCTGCATTGTGTCTGCTTGAGTTAAACTGCTGTGGCTAGCCTCTGCTGGCTGATAGGCGGTATTATCTTAACACCATGGACCACTCAGCACTACAGGAGTTATCCATACTTATCTAGCTGCATGTGTCTAACAAATAGCTACTTGTTTTAGACCATTCTTTGACCTAGCGCATCTTTTTAACGCCTTGGATCCTATCCACAGCCAAGCAAACGGTAGAGATCTTTCAGCATAACAAAGTCTACATTGTTTCAGCTAATGCCATGTCATTAGATTTGCAAGTATCTAGTCGTAAAACTGCAGTACTGGACAAGTATGACAGCAATAGAGTCGCTAAAGGCCGCTACACACCAAAACCGATTTTGGGAGTCAGAGGCCGTCAGAGGCCGTCAAAGGCAGTCGGGCATTCGCAGCGCCCTACTCAGGTTGGTGTGTCCCGCACCGTTGTCTCTTTACGGCACATTTTCACACCTCCCGCGGCCTCCCGCGGCCAATTCAACATGTTGAATCGGCCGCGGGAGGCCAAAGAAATCACTCTGATTGGCTGTTCAGCTTAGCGAGTCAGTGCATGAGAAGCGAAGCGGAAGTGAGGGACCAAAACAAACGATTTAAGAAGGCACACACAGACGGTTAATCTTTTTCATTTTCATCTCACCCGGACGCAAGATTTTATTTTTTAAGTTTACATGTTTTCGATCGACGAGAGAGAGTGAAAATGGAACCCAGACGCTATTTGTTGTTTGTTTATGTTAAGGAATAATTCTTCTAGATATCTAACCTTTTGCTCTGTGACGTTTTATGATCTACTCTGACGTCTGTTATCTCCTTTAAGGAAAGGCCTTGGTGCCATATGTGTTGTTGTCACCAGTTTGTGACCGGTCAACTTGTCTGGCACGAAGGGTAATTGTTGTGAGAACACTGAGGCACTTCTTTATCGGTGTTTGTGTACTCTAAGATGTGAAATCTTTGAGGCCATGAGTGTCGGACGCAGGTGGCTCAGTGTTCCCAGCTGTTTAGTCTACTCCTTCAGAGATGTTGATTACTCTCTGTGAACCAGTTAAAAGGTCTAGCATAGAGAGAGGCTCTTCAGAATTGACGTGGCAACTCTACCGTGTAGTCAGAACCTCTGACTCTTTGACTTGTGATGTGAATCCTCCGGCCGATACTCTGAATAAACCCTTCAGTGTTCAAAAACTCCAACTCTCACCGTGTCTCCTTCCTGAGTCGGTGACTCCCAATGCATTGCTACACGGAAGTTTCCCCCACAGTTTATATCGTTCTTATTATACATCCATGGTTTATATCACGCAGCCTGTTCTTCTTCTCTCGGTGTATAGTCTGTCTTCCGGTTGTTGCCTCTTTTGAATGACGAATACACACTACCGCTGCCTGCTGGTAAGGACAGTTATTGCCACCCGTCAACTGAAGTCTTTGCGGTGTGTTCGTAGGTGGGCGGCGTAGCCGACGCAGGCGACGTAGCGGACGTAAAAGTCGGGACGCCTTCGGTACGCGTTCTTTGGTCTCAGGTTGGTGTGTAGTGGCCTTAAAGGAAAGGTTTATTATAACAAATCTTGGCAATACATCAGCTAGTTGTGTGAGTTTGAACCTAAGTGCTGGACAAACTATCAGACTGTTATTGGCATCCCTAGAGCCATATGACAATAAAAGCCTCAACTAATAAAACATAGTTATTGTACTCCGATCCGGAGAGAGTTCCAAGTGCCATTACCGGTTGACCCCGCTACATCTCCTATGAGCAACAATTGTTTTATAATGAGTAAAGTTCACCTGGTGGGGAGGTGATGGCTTCCCAGCGCCGTGCTTCCCCCAGGGCCGACGAACAGGCGTAAGCCTTCCTCTGAAAGAGATAGAGTAGCAGTAACATACGGTCATTACTGAGAGTGCCCACATCCTCCTGTATAATTATTGTTATGACGAGCAGCCAGTTGCTAGGCAATCTAAAAATAATCATGTATTGACAGCAGCTTTCTTTTCCTAGCTTTGAGATGGATGAAACCTTGGAAAGAAAAACAATGCCTCACGCCTCAGAGTACACAGACTGAGTCATGCTGTGGCAAAATACTACGAGCTCATTACTGTCATTCAAGTAGCTGTGCATTTTACACAGAGACATACCACAGACTAGGGCTGCGACTACTGATGACCAATACTATTAGCTCTTTTTGATTGGTTTTTAGGCTATTTGATTAGTTGATAGTCAAATAAGTCAGCAACTATTTTCATACATTCAGCATTTGAGTGAATTTGCTCATACCAGATTCTTAAATGAAAAATGTTTTGCTTCTCTTTCATTTATATCATTGACAGACAAAACATAAACCCATTATAAACTTGGGTTCCTAAATTGGATGAGCATTTTGCAAACTTTTCTGACATTTTATTACCAAAATAACTTATAAATGAATCAAAAACCCATAAAAAAGAGAAAATTAGAAGGATTGTTAGATGAAGTCTGGTTATTATTTTTATTTAAAAAAAGGAAAAAATGCAGGATCTGCTTGAGACACATTCCCAAAGACCTCCTCATCAGTCCAGAACTCTAGAGTATTACATTTACAATTATTAACAACAGAGAAAAACCTTCACATGTCCACAACCAAGAAGCTAGAGTTAGCTTATGTTTGGCTTTTTAACTTGATAAATACAAATAAAAAAGCCGAACGATGGTTTTTTCCTTTGAGTAATAGATGGATGGTTACAGAGTATAAGAATACTTTTGAGTTTTGTTAGCTAAACCATTTAGAGACGATGTGCACAATCTGCCAACAGGACATACACAACAATGACTACCCAAAGAATGAAGTCCTGCAGATATGGCGGTAGCGATAGACTTGATAAAGGACACCATGTTGTTTCTCTGGATGTGTAGCCTACCTTCAGCACTGGAGTCTAGTAGGCTTGGTGTGAAGTCTTGACTCTGGAGAATCTTTTCCACAACATCGTCAGCATCGACCCGCGTGTCGTCCATTCTCTTCAGCTGAGACTCCATAGAGTCCTGCTTCACAGGGTGTCTGAGGGGAGGATGTACCAGAGTCATTTTATGTCTGATTGGCCATTAACGGCTTCCACTTCTAACACATGATGCTGCTTGTGTGTTCACTAAGTTTTTAGTTGACTAGTTATCACCAAACAATTAGTTTTTTGTTGATATCAACACACTTTGTTTAAAATCACACTTTTGTTGCCACTAATATTACAAACTACAGTATGGTCATCATGGCAAAAACATGTACTACTCTAATGACATACTATACAACTACTTTTATTTATTTTATTTACGTCATATTAACCTGACTTTTTCTACATGTTTTATGACATTTTATTACTTACTTAATTATTACTTACTTTAGGTAATATTTTATTTTAAAAACAAATATACTGTCTTATTCTATGACAATCTATACCTTGTTTTTATGAAAATACAGACCTAAAACCTTTATGAGAATATACTATGGTTTTGAATGACAATATATATTGTGTTTTGACATACTGTAACTTTTACATGGCATACTATATGATAATATAGATTTCAATAATATTTCTGCAATCTATTTGAGGAATGTTGTTTTTATTTAAAGGAACCATTCAACATTTTAGGAAGTGTGCTTTATCATCTAGAGTTAGATGCCAACACCGATACATCTCTTGTGGGTAAATAACTGAAGGGTTGAAGTAGCCAGCCTGTCTTAGTCTGAAGGTAACACAATGTGCCTACCACCACTTCTAGAGCCCCCCAATTAACACATTAATTCTAATTTGTTTCATTAATCAATCCAGGACTTAAGTGTAAAAGAAAATCTGGTTTTAGAGCCAGACGATCTGTTGGTCGGTGCAGTCATTTCATGGAGCCTTGTTGTCATGTGAGGTTGTCGTGCAGCCAGTGGTTTCATATTTTATGTGGAGATCTGAGAGTGGTATAGATTGTATCTCTCTCTCATGCTACATGCCACAGTGTCAGAGGAATTGAAATAGAACAATATGACTGAAAGTTGGTCTTTGAAGAGATTGGCTAAATATGAAGTGCAGCTTAACCCATAAAAGGTAAAACCCTCACCAGTCGTGAGTCTGAACAGCTTAGCTTGATTCATGGTTGGACATTTTTAGATCACACAAATACAATGACTAACGTTTTCATAAGTACCAAAAGCCCCCTACTGACACCTCATAATGAAACCACATAGACTCTTTCGCTGTTCTGCCTCGCTGCTTTCTACAGCTGCTTCCTGAAATGTGACAGTCTCAGGTGGGGTTTTATCTAAAGTTTGTTAGCTTCCTTTAACTAACGGCTTCTATGTTTTGTAATCATTACACACAATAAAGAGATTACAATGACTTACTGACGGTTTCCTCTATTAAATAGGCCTATGACGATGATTATTATCTGGATGTGCTTTAAATAAAATAAAAATTATATTTCTTTACTAAAATGACCCACCTGTTGAGGCGTTCACAGGACGAGGCGCTCCGTACAGGTGTCCCCGCTGAGTTGCTAGTGGTTGCAGGGGGGACCGGGTGTTCAGGTAGAGCTGGACAGGGTCTGGACTCTCGGTCGTCGCTTGGCTCTGGGATGCTACCGATGCCCGTCGAGGCGCTACCCACTGAGTGGTTTCTCCGGTGGCTGAACTCTGACATGCTGGAGGAGCGGGAGTGACCTGTGCTGTATCCTGAGAGATCAGGGGGGGAAGCCGATCAAAAAGAAGCTCAAACTCGATACAAAGTTGAGGGGGATGGAGATTCAGGAGATAATTACCTGTAGGTTCACCAGTAACAGTGACCTCTTTCACATTGTCTTTAGAGTCGACTTAGGGTATATTTATCATACTCTCTAAAAGTCGGTATGAACTGATCTCTGACCAGCAGTTAAATGTGTTAGATATAATGAGAAGCACATTTTAAAGCGCTTTGGATAATTGTGCTATATAAATGCAGCCAATTACCCCTTCACTAGGTTAATGCATCTGATTGGACAGCCATGATAAGATCCTGAAAAGAATACTGCAAATGTGTATTGTAGCATTCCAAATATTTCAAACACCAGCTGCAGCAGTTTAACAGCAAGTGGTCTAGAATGCATTATGCAAATATATGCACACATTTACATTTTTGCTTTTCAAAAAGACAACAATTGTAGAAGATAGATGTTCAGCTTTATATCTGAATTAAAACATGAATTCGATATTTACATTGATCTGCTGTTCATATGAGGAACCAAAACAGTATTTAGTTAGCCTCTGGTGAAACCCCCTTTGCGGTGCTGTTAGATTTGAATTGCAGTGTTAAAAGATTTAGCACTTTAGTAGAGTTGCGGTGACATGCACACACTGGCATGTGACTGCAGGAAGGAAGGCTGAGGCGTCCAGAATAAAAGAAAAACACTTCTCACAACGTGTTTTCAAGAAAGCATACCATCTCTCCCTTTTTTTTATTATTAGGGTTTTTATCTTATATTAATGTTGAGCATTTTTTACATTATTATAATTGTCATATGTTATCAACCCAGATTTCCTCTTCCTGGTTCAACTATGTAAAATGCTTGACCTGTGTGTTAAAAAGTGCTGTATAAATAAAGTCTATAATTACAATATCAGGGCATGAGTTTACTACCGCCATGATAGAGCAATCGTCTCACACTTATATGAAGCAGGAAATAGATTTCTAAATGTATAATCAGAGAGCCATTAAAACTGCTCTCAGTGCATCTCTACTTCCTCTGATCTTTTATTGCAGTCATCTGATCTGTCTGTAATGGAAACTCGAGCCTCAGGTTTGAACTGCTTTGGTGGAGTGTCACTGGAAAATCATTTAAATTGCTTCCCACCTCTCTTTAGTAAGAAGCTTTTCTCCCTTGGAACTTACGCACACATTTTCTCCAGTAATAAAAAAGAATTGTAGTGAAAAGACCTGTGCGTTATGAAGTTGAGGCTGGCATCTGGTTTAGACAGAACTACATACTTTATCTGTAGAAAATGGTATGTATAACTGCCTGCCATCCGTCTTAGGTCAACAACATTAATCTTAAAAACTTGACCTGTTTCTGATATGGGGTCCCATACCTGAGAGTTTGGACTGTTGGCTGGCGTAGCTGGATGTTCGGGAGTGGCCACAGCCCCCGAGTTCATCGGAAACAACAGGACACTTCCCTTCTCGACTCTCTGCTAGATGAGAAAGAATAGAGGAAAAGACACACTGAAAAACAAAGTGCTGAAAGAGTCCAGACAAAATGTTAAGTTAAAAAATCTACATCAAGCTTTTCTTCAGCCTCCTCGAATCAGAAAGTTGGGCCAAACGAGTTTTTAAACCATTGCTCATTATCAGAGCTCAAAACACCAAAAGTGTGGCATAGATAGTTGTTGTGAAAAGAATAAGGCCCCTTTTCAAATATGACCTAGATTTAGTCTCAATTTAGACAACAGAAACAAACCCAGTTTTTCTCATGTTACATGAGTCATCCATATTTTGTAAAAACCTTGAGTGTTTTAATTGCTGTTGATTTATATCTTATTTCTGCCAACAGATACAAAAAACTGAGAAAGCTCCACTCCTACACACTCCCTGCAGCTTTGCGGCTATATTATTCAGATTCAGTAATTTCTTTGAATGGGTGACAGATTGAACAATGGGAAGTTATTGCAGGTATCACAATTTTAAAGGACTTATTTGAAGAGGGTAGAATGATGTGTTTTGATCAACTAAGATTGGAATACAAACTAACACAAAATACACTTTTTTAGGTTCCTACTGTAGCAGGACGGGGGCAAATAGAAACAAAAATAAATACATATTCCTTCCCTGTTCAAAGGGGAGTGGCTCAACAATCCACACCTGAGAGCTGGGGGAAGCTAATCAAGACAGTAAGGCCTAGGCTCCACGGGAACGAAAACGGGTTGAATCCGCATATATCTCATGCGTATAGCCCTTTAAGCTAGACGATGCCGTAACGGAAACGTAGAAACAGACCCTGCAAACGACAACGGGTCCAAAGGTGGATAGATCTGGGAACGGAGCGCTCTGGGGGGTCCAACGGGGCCGTGTGGTCGCCTATACGGTCATCCGTTTCTGATAATGACGACGCAATAGCCCCGCCTCTCCCCACCTCTGCTGCTCACCCCCGCAAAAGTACACTGCACACTGAATTCAGATTATTTATCTTTATCTCGATATGGACATAAACGCGAGTGAAATCTAATCTGACAGGACGGAGACACGCAGCTCCTCCCGTTGTGATGCAGCGGGAGCAAAACACACACTTCAAGTCAGATCATCACCCTTAGCTATTTTAATTACCTCTCAAACTACCTAAACTAGTTATAAATATGTTTATTTTTACTGTCGGGTCATCATTACTGGATCAGCTGCTGCATGAGACAGACACTGACGCTGTCAGAAGAGAGGAAAAAGAGATGTATTTTATGATTATATATCATTATATCGTCGTTATTCATTTGTTTTAAAGCTCAATAAATAACAATGAAGACCTTTGACCGGCACTTTTATAATTTTGTCCGGAAGATTTAAACTTTAACACACGTTGACCGGCGAAAAACTCTGCCCGGTTCCGTCGGCCCCCACCAAGGAGAATAAACAGAAGTGCAGCCATGACAACCATTCTTCTTCGCTGCTTTTGTGGAGGAAGTTACAGCGCCACGTACAGGCTCGGCATATGTACTGCAGCTTTTCCAGCGGTTGGATGTAAACGGAGCCGTCTCGTGGAGCTTGACACAATCCGGTGTATATTGCGTGTGGGCGGAAGCTTTTTTGCGTTTGCGTTACTCCGATGCGTTTTGCCGTATGCGTTCCCGTGGAGCCGGGGCCTAAGTCACACCTGAGAGGTGTGGAGGAGGGAGATCTAAAGGCCGCTACACACCCACCTGAGACCAAAGAACGCGTACCGAAGGCGTCCCGACTTTTACGTCAGCTTCGTCGCCTGCGTCGGCTACGTCGCCCGCCTACGAACACACCGCAAATACTTCAGTCGACGAGTGGCAATAACTGTCCTTACCAGCAGGCAGCGGTAGTGTGAACAGCCAATCAGAGTGATTGCTTGGGCCGACTTCAACATGTTGAATCGGCATCGGGAGGTGTGAAAAGGTGCCGTAAAGAGACGACGGTGCGGGACACACCAACCTGAGTAGGGCGCCGCGAATGCCCGACTGCCTCTGACGGCCTCTGACTCCCAAAATCGGGTTGGTGTGTAGCCAGCTTTACTCCACTGCAGAAAGAGAACAGGAATGGAAGTCCAGTTGTATTTTCGGGGACCTTTTCTGGTCAACCAGGCTGTTTTTGAGTGTCACTGAACCAAGGAGCTGGTGAGGTAAAACAATTCACCTTCCACATCAGTTAACCTGCATTCTCTGTGATCTTCCCTGGCCTGCTTGGACCCTCAGCTAAGTTCACTCTACCTCCTGACTGAACTCTTCATTCAACATGTCATTACCCGATTCGTACCAGAAACCCGATCGGTTCTACGCATGTGCGAATACGCCGTTAATTCCCATGATGCTTACTAAAGTATGTCGAGGCAATTTACAGCCCTTTTCAGGGATTTAAATCAAATAATGTTATCTTTGGTTTGATTAGTTAAAAAATAGAAGACTTAAAAAGTTCCTTATTCAAATAAATACTTCCTCTCTTGTTTTGGTAAAGAATGTCTACAATAGGGTGCTAATTTAGTCATTTATTAACAAAGAAGAGCTAGTTAAATGCTTGCATAGCTTAAATAAAGTCATTGTTAAAGTCATTCAACTATGAACAATGAAATGTATCTCAAGATATACTATATTTATTCAGCATTGGAAGACTTAATCAGATCCTTTACTTAGGAAAAGTACTAATTAGCAAACATTTTTGCTAAATGTACTCCCAAGTATCAAGAGTAAAAGTACTCTTTATGCAGAATGGATATTTTCACAGTATTATATTATGGTAATTTTATTATCCTGTTTTGTAGTTTGACAACATGGACCAAATGTAGATACTACAAATACTGTGTAGATTACTGGTGCAGTACTGCAATATACCATATCAGGTATTTTATATGTGCAAAGTAACTAGTAACCGTGTGTTAAAATAAATGTAGTGGAGTAAAAAGTGAAATATTTTCCTCGGAAATGTAGATGTAGAGATTTGCTCACTGAAGGCTGAATACAACCAATATTTTTATTAAAATGTCTTCTTAGTCTGGTACACAATTATATTAATTTGAACACTGGGAAGCAAATGTTGTTGCACTCTGCCACTTTCAGAAAAACATCCATCGCAAATTCTTGAAATGTAAATGGTTGATGACTCAACATTTATTGATTGAAGAAAATTGATAAACATGAAAATAAAACATAACAACAATAATGTGGTATTAGTAATATCACCACTAAAGCTACTCAAAGGACCATGTGTTGAGATTGTTGACTAAACTTCACCTTTCCTGGGACTTTGACAAGGGACAATATGTGATCGCTTCTTCTCACTTTTGAGAGACAACCTTAGGAATTTAGTGAGGATTGAAAGAGGTCCAGCTACAGCCTGCTTTCCAACCATCTTCTCAAAGCGCTTCTTCTCATTTGTGAGAGACGACCTCAGGAGTTTCTCATCTGTCAGGCTCTCTTCTAAAGCCAGATTCTTCTCTTGGCTCTGGATTTTCTTTGAGGCGCTGGAGAAACGAGCCTTTTCCTTCTTAATGGCCTCCTCCAGTCTGCTGTTAGCTCCTCTGTCGCCCTGAAGCTTCTTCTCATCAATGTGCAGTTGAGACTTACCTTTTTTATTGGTGACGCTTTGCCCAGCCCCCATATGTTATCAATCAATCAACGTTTATTTATATGGCCCAATATCACTCATTTTACATTTGTCTCGGGGGACTTTACAGTTCGTACAGAATATAAATAGCATAAAAAGACACCCTCTGTCCTTAGACCTCACATCGGACAAGGAACAATTTCCAAAGAAAACTGACAGTTACCATGGGGGAAAATGGAAGAAACCTTGGGGAAAGCAATAGCGGACAGACATGCAACAGATGTCGTGTGAAAATTAAAAAGATAATACATTTAAAAAAAATACATAGTCAAAATTATAACAATAAAAACATATTTGCGTCGGTGCCAGTCGCACACTAAACATTTCCTTGGAGGATAATTTTCTAGTGTGCTGTACAATTTGACTGGAAGAGATATGGACTGAAGTCTGGGCGTGGGTTTCCTTGAGCATAGCTGAGCCTCTCATGTCTGTCTTGGAGGGCAGTGTGAGTTTTGAGCAGCTCGCGATACTCAGCGTTGATGTCGCAGTGCCTCCTCCCTAGATTGGTGTACTCCTGCTGCAGGTGGTACAGCGCCTTATTGCTCTTATCCAGGGAATATTTCTGCTCCCTGAGCCTGAACTCGGAGTCACTGATGTTTCCGAAGTTGTAGTTTGTCTCTGCACGTTGTTTTTCCTGAAGCCTGGGGAAGGTTTCCTGAGCCTTCTGCAGAGACAAGGTCAATTTGTTGTTTTCCTCCAGAGTTGCGATCTGCTTCTTCAAAGCTTCTTGAAGCTCGACGCGGTGCTTCTCACACCTGGTCCTTTCTTTTTCCAAACCGGAGGAGATCTGATCAACAGTATGGTGCAGCTCAGAGTTTCTTGTCTTTTCCTGTTTAAGGGCTTCTTCGAGATCGGCCTGTCTCATCTTGATCTTTGACTCCTTTGCTTTGAACTCATTTACAATGCACTGTAGATTAGTGATGATAAACTGATTGTCAGAAATGCTATCATTTTTCCTTGACAGCATCTCTTCATGGCACGCAGAGAGAGAGCGGAGTTCAAATCTTTCTCTGTCATATTCTCTCTCCAGGACAAGGAATTTAGCCCTGATGTCAGCATTTTCCGTCCTTAATGTCTGCATGTCGTACGCAGATGCTTCTCTCAGTTGAGTGAGGATTGAAAGAGGTCCAGCTGACGCCTGCTTTCCACACACCTTCTCAAATCGCTTCTTCTCACTTTTGAGAGACGACTTTAGGAGTTTCTCGGCTGTCAGGCTCTTTTCCAAAGCCAGGGTCTTCTCAGACAGCTCTTTCTCTTGGCTCTGGATCTTCTTTGAGGCTCTGGAGAAACGAGCCCCCTCCTTCTTAATGGCCTCCTCCAGTCTGCTGCAAGCTCCTCTGTCGCCCTGAAGCTTCTTCTCTTCAATGTGCTGTTTGAGAGCAACCTCCAGTTCACTTTGCAGTCTTTTGTTCTCATTGGCGAGGTGTTGGTTCCCCTGAGTCAAACGGGCCAGTTCTTCTGCTTCCTTCTTCTGCTGAGAGACAGCAGCCTCGTAGTCCCTCTGCAGTCCCTCAGAAGCCAGGGTCTTCTCAGACAGCTCTTTCTCTTGGCTCTGGATTTTCTTTGAGGCTCTGGAGAAACGAGCCCTCTCCTTCTTAATGGCCTCCTCCAGTCTGCTGCAAGCTCCTCTGTCGTCCTGAAGCTTTTTCTCTTCAATGTGCTGTTTGAGAGCAGCCTCCAGTTCACTTTGCAGTCTTTTGTTCTCATTGGCGAGGTGTTGGTTCCCCTGAGTCAAACAGGCCAGTTCTTCTGCTTCCTTCTTCTGCTGAGAGACAGCAGCCTCGTAGTCCCTCTGCAGTCCCTCCAAAGCCAGGGTCTTTTCAGACAGCTCTTTCTCTTGGCTCTGGATCTTCTTTGAGGCTCTGGAGAAACGAGCCTCCTCCTTCTTAATGGCCTCCTCCTTCTTAATGGCCTCCTTCTTCTTAATGGCCTCCTCCAGTCTGCTGCAAGCTCCTCTGTCGTCCTGAAGCTTTTTCTCTTCAATGTGCTGTTTGAGAGCAGCCTCCAGTTCACTTTGCAGTCTTTTGTTCTCATTGGCGAGGTGTTGGTTCCCCTGAGTCAGACGGGCCAGTTCTTCTGCTTCCTTCTTCTGCTGAGAGACAGCAGCCTCGTAGTCCCTCTGCAGTCCCTCAGAAGCCAGGGTCTTCTCAGACAGCTCTTTCTCTTGGCTCTGGATCTTCTTTGAGGCTCTGGAGAAACGAGCCTCCTCCTTCTTAATGGCCTCCTCCAGTCTGCTGCAAGCTCCTCTGTCGCCCTGAAGCTTCTTCTCTTCAATGTGCTGTTTGAGAGCAGCCTCCAGTTCACTTTGCAGTCTTTTGTTCTCATAGGCGAGGTGTTGGTTCCCCTGAGTCAAACGGGCCAGTTCTTCTGCTTCCTTCTTCTGTTGAGAGACAGCAGCCTCGTAGTCCCTCTGCAGTGAGCTGCTTTTTGTTTCTTCCTCTTTGAGGTCTGAGGCACACTTATTCACTATCTCCTGTAGTGAGGTAACAATGCTGACCTTGGCTACAATGTCGCTTTGGAGATTCAGAACATTTGAGTGCAGGGATTCAATGTCTTTGTCTTTTTTCAGACTTTCCTCCTGCCACTCAGTGAGGCGGTCCTGTATTGCTGTAACTGAGGCAGTATTCAACACAAGCAGCTCTGAGATTTCTCTTTGGTGCTGGCTGGAGGATGCATGCTGATCTATCTGGAGCTTCTCAATCACCTTCTTGTGTTCTTCAAGCTCCGAAGTCATTATAGTGATTCTGTTTTTCAGCTTTGCTTTGCCACGCTGCGGCTCTTTTTGTGACTGTTTCAGAGCAGCGTTTATGATCTGTATTCTATCACAAAGGGAATTATTTTCATATTGCTCATACTTCAGAGCCTTTGCAAGAGCGTCTTTTTCTTTTTGCTCATGCTTCAGGGCTGCTTTGTGCTGAGCTGTAGATGTTTTCTCCTTCATCAAGGCCTCTTCAAGAGCAGCTTTGGCTTTTCTCTCCTCGTCCAGGGCTTCCTGAAGACCAGATGATTTGTCATATCTCTCAGATCTTGCATATGATTTGTCAGATCTCGCATTTCTCGCAGATGATTTGTCAGATCTCGCAGATCTCTCAGATCTTTCAGAATCCTCTGTCTGTGAAACATAAAACAATTATTATTGTGTTGTCTATGTGCAGTGTTTTTTATTAAGAAAACAGAAGTGGAGTTAACTCTGCATCAATTGGGGTGAAAAAGTATGCTGTGATCAATTGCATTAAAGATGATTTACTATTTTGATATTTATTTTTTGGAAAAACTTTAGTAAAGAAACTAAAGCGTTGAGTATTAGCTTTTTTACAGTTTTCATGAGTGTAATTGTAAACGTGTGTGCCACTGAATTTAATTCTTACCTCATCAAAGGAAGTGTCGCTGTAGTTTTCTCTGTTGCTGGAGATGGAGGTCTGCTCCTTAATATCTTCCACCACCTCCTCAACAAACTCAAGAATCTCTTCCATTTCTGACTTTGTCTTATCATCAAAGTTTACAATCTTGTTGATTTCGGACTGTTTCTCATCACTAAAGTCCAAAATGTCTTCGTTTTCAGACTCTGCTGCAAATTCCAAAATCTCTTCCATTTCTGACTCGGTCTTATCTAGGTCAGACATTTCTTTAATTTCGGACTCTTCCTCATCATGAAGGTCCAATGTATCTTCAAAGTCTTCATCCACTGAGTATACAAACTCTTCCTCCTCAACTTCCTCCTCCACCTTGTTTGCAAACTCCTGCACTCCTGTTTCCTGCACCTCCTCCATGGTTTCCTGCACCTCCTCCAAGGTTTCCTCCATAATTTCCTCCTCAATCTCCTCCTCGATCTCCTCCTCAACAGAACTGTCCTCAGAGGGACAATTATTTCGGTGCCATGGAGAGTCGTTGTAAGTCATGTTGAAAACTGATCTTTCTCTGTCCATCTTATTATCGTGAAGAAATAGCTGCTTCTTACTGATAATGTGAACTCGATGTGGCTGGGATAAAACCTGGCTTGTTATCGTCCTGCACAAACAAGTTGTGTAGCTATTTAACCAGAGAGCATACTCTCTTGCAGCCACTGTGATATGACATCATCAGGTTCAGTATGACTTCAGAGCCGAACATTCCGGAATGTGCTTTGGTCTACCAACACATTCTACATTCCATTTCAAAGTATTCCACATTCCATTTCAAAGTATTCTACATTCCATTTCAAAGTATTCTACATTCCATTTCAAAGTATTCTTTCTTCCTTTCCTCTCCTTGGTATGTAGACATTCTAAAAGTATGGAGGAAAGTATATTTTAAGTCACCTGATAAGCAAAGTCCTCACCACACTGGAACTCCTGCATGGACTTGATTTTATACTGGACAATCAAAGATGATTGACAAAAGGCCTTGCAAATTAATTTATCAATGCATCAATTATTTGACAGGTTTAAAATAAACAGACTTCCCTGTAGCCTTATGCTGCGTTCACACCGGACGCGATGCGAATATTCGCTTTGCTCTAATCGCATCGCTCTAAATCAGGGATGGGCAAATGGCGGCCCACCTCCTCTTTTTGCGGCCCTCAGATTAATTTATAAACAACGTAATTAATAAAAACAAAAAAAACTTTTTGTAGTACTGATACCGTCCACTAGACTCCTAGTTACGTCGCGAGCTGCGTACATGATTTCGTTCAGCAGCCAAATACCGCAAAATAATCTGACGCGTTTGTGTGTATTGTGTTTGTTTCCCGGGGAAACACTCACAAGAAACACCGGCTGTTGTTATGCCTGCTGTGACGTTAAGTTACCGCGTGTAATTATGCCTTTACAAGCTTCAAAGTTGTATTTATCATCTGAATTTGGCGAAAGAAGTTTAATATTCTAAAAACCAAGACTTTGTTTATTTGAAATCAAATGAAAACAAACTGTCACGGACCCTGCCGTGTTATCTATGATTACTATACGCTTTTCATTCATAATTTCAGCGGGAGGGAGGGGGAGCGACGCTGAGGAACAGCAGAGTGCGGGTTGACAGGTGTCTGTGTTGACATTCCCCTTATTGTGGAATAAGGGGAATGCAGAGACAGGCTACAAGTGTCTTAGGTTCAAGTTAGACAACTAATGTCTGGGTTAGTGTTCATGACTTCATGTTTATGTCATCTTAATGGTTAATCTCAATGCACACACATGTTCCGTGCTTTCCAATAGTTTAAAATAGTTTTATTCCACTGTTAAATAACCTGTTCAATACAAACATGCCACTTGTAAAAATTAAATAACATTTCTGTGAACTGATATGTTTAGTGAGCTTATTGTTGTTATTGATGTTCCTTGAAAGATTGAAAAATGTCCATGAAGATGTCAGACTTAGTATATTTGTTAATAATTACATCCAATACGTGTGTGTGTGTTCCAAGTTAATCTGCAGCCCCCTGGTGGCCAGTACATAAATTATGTGGCCCCCCACCACCATCCAGGTTGCCCATCCCTGCTGTAAATGCTTGAGTTTCAGCGCGGCTGTCAGCTGTGTTTACTCCCATCATTCAAACAAGACGCGCTGGCTGAGGGGCTACTACTACAACAAAATGAACATATTTTACCGTGATTTAATTGTAATACACGTTTCAAAATGAACGCATCAACCGCTTCATGCGCGCCGTCGGTGCAAATTTGCGTCTGTCCGCGTCTCTGCATTGACTTTACATGTAATCGCGCCGCCCCCAAACATCGCATCACGTCCTGTGTGAACGCAGCATTAGAAAGGCCAATTATTGGCTGATTTGTCAACCATTAAGGATATATTAACAAAAAATTGTTTATTGATGATAGATTTATTAGATAAATTAAATGTGTATGCAACAGCAGTGGAGGCCTATACGACAGTCCACTACAAAAGATTGCCAGACCTCACTTAAATGTACATTCTTGGTTTTGTAATTTTGTTTTACTTTCAGAGAGCAAGCACTGCACTGGTCCTCGATGCATAGCCCGAGCCACTTATATATGTGTTTATCTGCCAACTAACATGAGGCATTTAGTACAGAGATATACAGACGGAACAGCTTCTGTACGTCGTGTTTCTTCACTGAAGTGCCCTTCTTTTTCTGCCTCAGGCCGCGAATCGGGTCTTATTACTGGTAGGAGACCATCCGGACTCACCTCCCTGTTAGCAATATAAGCTGGCTTTGATGCGCTCCTGCTGCTGGTTTATTTTCTACACCGCAGGCCACTGTAAAGTGAGGCAGGTCCCTTGATAATTGTTTACATTGATGGAACTTAAGGGTGACTTGGAGATACACCACACAAACAAAATAAACACAGGAGGACAGACATGTGAAACACACAGACCAATTAGTAGTTAGTTTACACCAGGGGTGTCCAAACTAAAGCCCGGAGGCCAAATGCGGCCCGCGGACCATTTTGAATCGGCCCCCAGCAAATTCAAAAAGTATAATGAAATATGGCCAACAAATTAAACTTCTGCTTGTCTTGTATTTCTTAAATATACATGTTCAAATATATTACACAGTATTCATGTGTAAATAAGCCCAATTTTCAAATAAATTCAGTCAATTCAAGTTGAATTTTTTTTTCTAACAAATCTAAGTTGATAAGAAAAAAGCCCAATAATAAATGTACATAACTACCTTGAAATATACCCTTCATATTTCCTCTAATTATAAGCAATCTGAAGCTTCTGTTTTAAGGAATGAGCATGCCAAACTTATTGTAACAAAATAAATGAAACCCTATGGAGAGCTTTGATGTAGGCTGTTTTTTTTCTTAAACGCATTATCAAGTATCAAGAATAGTTTACCTACATTTGATTGATTTTTCCAACTTATAACTGAACTTATGAGGCAATATACCTCACCTCTAGGGAGTGGCCCAGCCCTTCGTATATTTTTCTGTATGTGGCCCTCTGTGAAAAAAGTTTGGACACCCCTGGTTTACACCCTTTTCGTCAAAACCAAGAATTGTATCTTTCCAAAGTCAAGATAGCATGGATTTATTAAAAACTATTGATTTTTTATTTTTGACATTCCAAGCTTCTAAAAATATATTATAAAAAATCAATCTTCAAAATAAAAACCCATAATTCCTCCTAATCTACCAAGCAACTGATTTCAATTGATACTGATCACACAAATGAAACACACCTGCACATACACTGCAAACATCTACAGCAGGGCTATTCAATTGGCGGCCCATTTACTGGCCCTTTGAGTATAATGTTAAAAAGTAATCTACCTTTTTTTTTTTAAGATTTTTTTTGGGCCAGAGTGCCTTTATTCCAGAGAGGGGAAGACATTGCCTGAAAACTTTGGCGGGCTCTGGTTTCGAACCCACCTACTAGCTACTGTAGTGACAACTCCTGTCATTTATTGCATCTCTGCGTGAATGATTAGATCATTTCACCTAAATTAAATCAAATGAAATGATGTTGATGGTTAAATTAGCTTCACATGTACTGAGTTCTGAACTTGCCATTTAGATCTATAAAGGCCTTGGGGCTATGTTGTTTGATTGAATTAAACACAATATATGCACTCCACCATGCTGTTGTAGTATTTACTGTATCTGAAGCTCTTAATATGATTGCTCATATTTCAAGCCATCTTTTTCCCGGCCCCTTGCTTTGGATCATTTTCATCAACCGGCCCCCATTCCAAACTAATTGAATAGCCCTGATCTACAGCAGAGACACGATGAGTTTGATGTGAAAGAGCATCTCAGCAGACCAATACACACGTGGTCTGCGGATGCTAACACACAACCCCCATAGACAGAATTGCAAACACTCCTATTTTTAACCATGTAAGAGCCTACAGGGTCGGAGCAGATTGTAGCTAATCTAAAAGAGAACTAGTTTAAATAATACATGAAATAGCTGCGCTACACTCTGAAACTTGCAAGAGGAACAACATTGCAACTGTTCACACATGGAGAAACACACAGAACAAGAGCAAGAGGGATGAAACTGGGGAGGGAAATGTAGCTGGATAAGAACTATTTGTATCGTGCTCGATGGGTGGGTGATAAATAGCCGTCATATAAAGCATGGTTGGATCTTTCCACAGAAAGATTATGCAGAGCAGTTTAAGGTAAACAGGGTGGCGTGGGATATTATGATAAATACACATTATTATTGCAGTACACAATTATATAAAAAGTTATGTTTCCTTGCCATTCCTTGTGCCCTTGCAAAGCCACATAATAGAACTTTACCGGAAATCCACACTACAACGATGAGATGATGTTGAAGAAATGTACTCATGAGCAGTGAGTTTAGACAGCTATGTGGATGGGATCTAAGATTAGATTTAACCTTTTGATTTCAAGTCAAAGGGTAAGGAGGAATATTTAGGCTCTCCTGAAGGTTATTATGGATATGTCTGTTTCAATCCAATGTAAATCTACACTGATTATCAGCATGAGCTTAACATATTTCATTTCAAACCTTTATTTATCCAGGTGTATCCCATTGAGATCATTGATCTCTTTTTCAAGGGAGACCTGCTAAAATATTAAAGGAAGGAAGGTCAGCTAAAAGTCAGGTTGTTACGGTATTTGTTAAACATATACAAAAATGGTTGACCCACCAGTCCAGCAGCAAGTCCTAGGTTTGATTCGTAGTTGGCTGGACCTTTGCTTCATGTCAGTCCCCTACTGTATTATCCCATATTACCTGTCTCTCATTTCATTTCAAACCTTTATTTAACCAGGTGAATCCCATTGAGATCATCAATCTCTTTTTCAAGGGAGACCTGCAGCAAGTAGGTTCCTCATGAAGACATAAAAACATAAAACAACATAAAAACTAAAAGGACATCATATAACATAGTTACTATCGACATTTACAGGTACCAACAGTATCAGATTGCATAGCATCTATCCGAGCTTTAAAAACATGCAGTGGAACCATCCATTCTTTTTGCAGACTGTTCCAAGCAGAACTGAAATATACTTGGGGGGGTGGTGGTAGCGGGGTGGGGGTGACGTGCAACAACATTAACATTAACCTTTCTGTTGGTCGCTTGTTAGCAGACCCTTCACGCGATGGCAGAGCGAACAGGTACAGGCAGGGCCCATAGTGAAAGCCCTATAGTTTAAATCTACTACCCACAAATAAACATATGGACATTGGTTACTATTTAAAACAAATTGGAAATGTATTTAGGAACCTATCAATGTGATGGGGGTCCGGGGGCATGCTCCCCCGGTAAGATTTTTTTATTTTATTTTGTAGTTAAATGCATCAATCTGGTGCATTTTGAGGGGAAAATAAAGAGACTAGATCTATGGGAACACCTATATGAAACAGAACTGTATACATTTCAATAATCATAAAATCATGGCCATAACCAATATGAAAAAACACTGAAACTTGTTTATTTATTTATTTTTGGTTCATTTATAGTTGTGAGTGTGTCTGTGCTCCTGAATCAGCCTCACCCGTCTCCCTCCTCTCCCCCCTGCTCCTCTTTGAGGCAGCAGCAAAGACTAGTTTTAGCTCTCAACAAGTTTTAAAAGTGTATCTGACCTTTTTTCACCTAGTTAATTTTTTTTAAATCATGCATATTTTACTAATCACTACCCCCTCAAATGGAAATATGTGTTTACATAAATGGTGACCAAACCGTTTGAGACCTACTGAGAACTTAGACTAAGTTAACTATCTAAACACTCAGAGAGTCCTTTACCTCACCTGAGCTGAGGTTATCCCGAGCTTGAATGACACACAGAGACCAATCAAGGGCTTTGATTTATGATCTGTATGACAGTGGCCATGTCGGCAGGCCACATCATGTAGACAGCCAGTCACCCTGTGTGAGGCAGACCCACATTTGCGCAGCGTTGCGTTCACAATACATACAAAAAAAATCAAAACATCCTCAGGCCAGCAGGCCACTTAACAGGCCAGGCCATCGGGAAACCCCCCGGTCCTCCCGATGGCCAGTCCGGGACTGGGTAGAGGAAGCGTAGAGCGAGGGATCATTGTCCACAAGTTAATTGATCGCAGATGGCATCGTGGTAGCAAACACAATAATATAAAAAAATGTAACAATGTAACAAACTGTCGTCTGGTGCGCACCTGAAAACGGACTATTAGGTGTGAATGCGACCAGAGACTAGCCTTTTCCTGGCCTCAAGTGAGAAACAGGACTTGTTTCTGAAAAAGAAACCTAGCTTCACCCTCAACTTTCTAAGCAGATTATTGACCTGAAGTTTAAAAGAGAGGCAATTATCAAGCCAGATACCAAGGTATTTATAACAGGCAACCACTTCAAGTACTTTTCCTTGCGTAGTAACAATATCCAAAGTGGTCTCCGGTGTCTTTTTGGCTTTTGAAAATAGCATTACCTTAGTTTTATCAACATTTAAAATAAGCTTAAGCTCAGAGAGCTGAGTCTGAATAATATTAAAAACAGCCTGCAATTTAACTACCAGTGACATTTAAGAAACCGCCAAAACAAATATACACATTAGAACCCAGAACTCCCATCAGGGGCCTGCTAATGTTTGAGAAAGCCAATGGGATGGCTAAGCAGGGCTGAGGAGTGTAATGTGGCGTGATTTGTCTCACCAGAACATCCTTTCTGTGAGTCGCCTCCTCTCCTCTCCTCCAGCAGGCTCTCTCCATCACCCTGGATCCCGATCACTGTGGCTGTGGAGGGGGGCCTGGTGACACGGAAAACAAAATAAGCCTTTATTCTCCTGAATCATATATATTTTAATGTGTCAATTGTTTAAAAGTCAAATGCAAGGTGAGAGACAAAAACAGGGAGAAAAGTGGGGAGGAAATGAATGAGTTAAATGATCATTATCACGATTGATCAAGTACAACACGATTAAGTTAGCTGATAACATTTAAGCATTCATTAAGACTACACATACCAGATACTCTACTTAAATACATGCTGAAAAGAAGGAAAATAAAGCTGTTGGCGTCATTCAGGCTACTGAATAATTTTTAGGTCAATATTTGCCCTTGGGTTAGGCAGCTTTTTCCTTTCTGTACACACACAGACCTTTACAAAAAAATCATATTTCTACTAGGACACTTAACATTATAATTACTGTATTGCACTTTGAAATCAGTCAGTGTGTTTGACATGGGAAGGGCCTGGGAAATCTTTATACTTGCACATTTCGGGATCGTTTGATTCCCATTTATTGTTTCCCAGAGGTTGAAGCACAGTGTCGAGAGCTGTCAATAGACTTCTTGGATCGGCTCTTAACCAAATGTGATCAGCAGCAGAATTTGTCATAACTTTGGCACATGATACAGAATCTTTTCTTCTTTTAAAGATTTTTTTTGCAATTGTTTCATGTTTGATAGTGGTAGTAAAGATACAGACGGGAAATGTGGGGAGAAAGAGAGGGGTTCTGATATTTCAAAGAGGACACCGCTTTAAATTACAGTCCGGTCCAGTCTGGCTCAGACGGGAGAAAAGCTGATTTCACAGGCTTTTTTTTGCCCAAAACTTTAGCAATTAATTAGTTTCTAATTAAAAGTGAATCTCAGACACCAACACTGACTGATGTAGGAATACAGTTTGAACAGCAGAGCGAATCAGATTTGGCACCAAGTTGAAAAACATGACTTTAACTTACGTTTTAAAACAGGGGTCTCCTGACATGAGCTGTGTACTGATGATGACCTATGAAAAGAAAAATAGACGTGTTAATAATTTCAGGTTTCACTAGCATTCAATGTTTCCATTAGCCTGGATTCTTATTTAAACCTTTTGGTAACCCTCTAATACTACTACACAAGAATCAACCAGCTGCAATCTGCACTCCCTGATTTACTTAAAAGACTTGATTTGATTAATTAGCTTTGTCACAAATTAGGAAATATTATACAAGACCTAAAGCAAATTATGGCTGTATTTGCCAATAGTTTTCCATGTTTTACTCTGCTTTTTTCCCCCAATTGTTTATTTCCTGCTACAAGCTAACAGACTACCTGTGTACCTACCCATTCGTTGTTGTAAGCAATGCTATACGTTGAGACAAAAACCTTTTACCTTGCCTACTTATTAGTTAAGAAAAAAAGATCAGGCTTCCAAACACCAAGGTTACCTCTTAAAGAAGTAAATTGGACTGGAGTGGACACACCACCGTGGCTTCAATGGGCGCTTTCACACCGGAGTACTTTTCCCAGGAATAGTTCCGATAGTTCCTGGGATTTTGCGTTCACACCAAAAAGATCTGGAACTAGAACCTAGTTTTTGCGAACCTTTTCACCCCCAGATAGTCCCTGCTAGAGAGGTGGTACTTTCCTGGGGAGAAAAAGGTTCCAATTTCTGATTGGCTGGGTGAATTGCAAACCACGCCCCGTAAAACTCAGAAAGGTTTTTTGAAGCCGCCATTTTATTTGCTCGCATTAGCATTATTAGCATTAGCCCAGCGCACCAACGGAGAGAGACTAACTTATGGCAACACAAAAGAAAACATGGGAGCGGTGTAGTGATGAGGAGGTGCCGGCGCTTCTGGCAATTTACTCGGAAGGCTTCAGTAGAAGCTGATGGCAGCTTCTACTGAAGCCAGTCGGACTGGCCCAGTCCCCAACTCCGGGGGGCAGTATACGCCGTGAAGTTGTTTGCGGCCTGCCAGTAAACCCAAAGCAGAAGAAGAAGTGACGTCAGCGGCTTCATTTGCGTAATCCTCCCTCAGAGACTTATTCCGGTGTGAACGCGATCTACTAGGACAGTTCCGGGACTAAGTACTGGGAACTAAGTACAGCAAAGTACTTGGTGTGAAAGCGGCTAATGTTACCTTGAGAATGGAGTTATCCTGGCGAGTATTTTTGGTATCGTAGCCTTCCAGCAGACATCTGCGAGTTGTATTCCCTGAGCCAGCAAACTCTGCTAAATTCAGATCTGCAAAACCAAGCTGAAGGAGAAAGAATGACACATGGTGAACTTTGTTTCCTCTCAGGAGACTGACATTTTGCCCAGTAAGCACTTGGATGTAAAATGTCAGGTCATCAGAGAAAATTCAGGGAAACTGAACAATGTCAACACTTTTGATGAACAATCCTTCTTCGCTGACATCTAGTGATCCTCTACAATATTAATATTTAGTTGTGGGAAAAAGCTATTATCTAGACTAGAAAGTCCACAAAAATAGGTTGTGTATGCTGAATAATTACTAGCAGATAGTGAAAGGGAGAACACATTACATAATGAGCAAACCTGCAGGCAGTGAAGGCCATCTGTTTGCTAAGGGCTCACATGGCTATCTACATAAATGTGGCAGATTAATGTTAATGCAGATGACCTGGAGGTTGGGTTAGGAGATGGGGGTTGGATGACGTAAGTAAATGAGTAGTTACCTTTGCAAATGCTTTTCCACCTTTCAGCTCCTGGAAAAGAGAAGCATAAAGACCTTAATTAAACATCTAAACTCATGATTAATTTAAGCACGATTGAGTTAAAACAAGGTTCGTAATAACCATTTCCCTAGGAAATGTGTTTGAAATTCATTTTCAGTTGCAAAATAATTTGATTGGCAAAGAAAATCAATGTTATCACTAAAAATGAACAAAACAGAAATGGCAAAGTGTCAAGTAATAATACAATTACAAAAACAACTCATGAAATCAGGTTATCGAGTAAAAGATAGACCCTTGCTCTTTCTGTGTGTTTGTGCAAAATATTTCAAATATGCTACTATACTCAAATGACATGGACAATTTTGCTGTTGGGTCTAATGGTAGCAGGAGGCAGCTGCTTGACCTTTAAATGTTTATAACAAAAATACTGGAAACAACTGGACCAGCAGTGAAGGCAAAATAACATAGGTTTTTCTTGGTACTTGACATGTTCTTTGTCTTAAAACAAAGAGGGCAGGGCACGCCAGAAATAGCTTGCCGTTGAAATACAAGACGCATTTAATCAGGAAGGCTTATTCGGGCTTATCTATTCCTTATATCCTTTAAAAAAAAAAACAGCAGACTAATGTTTAAGATGAAATGTTAAAGGATTTAAACTGAGAAAAAACTACACTGTGATGTTCTCTTCCAATTGCTTGCTAGCTGCATTTTAGAGTTCATATTTCACTCTCGTGTTTCGATTTGCCCTATAAAAGAAATGTAACCAATACCAGGATTTAACCCAGCTACAGCAGTTCTGTTAGCAAGGATGAGACTCTCCTCTCTGTTGCACACTGAGAAGAACAAAGGATTTCCTGTTTGCATTAAACACATGCCTTATGCATCTTTAACTTGTTTGTTTACATGCAAAGCATCACATCATGGTTAAAAAACACTGAGGTTTATATATATATATATATATATATATATATATCTCAAGTTTGGACATACTGTACCTTTCTGACAGACACACGGCACACACAAGGGTCCAGTACACCCGTCCCTGCATTGGCACTCATCTTGCAGGGGAAAGAGAACCGTTTCCTCCATCGTACACTGTTGGCATGCACTGGCTCCCTGTAAAGGAAAACCACAAAAACTATTATTTACCACAGTCACTTTTTGTAGCCCTGATAACATCCTCAAAATAATGTAATTCCTATTAATCAGCCCATAACTATGAGATAACAACTAAAACCTCTTATGTTGAATTCATCCTCATATCTCTCTCCCTGCTAAAGGCTAATGAGTCAAGTTGCCTACTGTATTCGAGCCGAGCTCAGGTGCATGGGATTTTTCTGTCTACTTAATTAACTAGTTAATTAATTAGTGTCTTGTTTTCAACAATTGATTCGTTTGGCTGCTGAAACCAAAGGTGACGGGGACAATTGCAGCCTGTTTTGGCAAGAAACTGAAAGAGAAACATATCTGCACATACCCCCATCCCCGGCCAATAACTAGAGGGGAAAATGAGTGTAGCCGTCTCAGTGAAAGGATGAAGTGAAAGAGAAAGGAGCGTGGATGCGTGGGCAGCATTACGATACCCCAGATGGCCTCTTTTTCACAGACGTCCTCCTCTCCCACTCACCTAACCAGCTCCCTGCTGTCAAAACAGCCCACATGCCATTCATTTAGATGAAATGTGATGGATTTAATTCAAACAGAGCTGATTAATTACTTCTCAAATGACATGCAACCACTGGCATACATTTGACAACAGTATGCAAAAGATATAGGGGCAAAAAGCTCAAAACAAGGAATACCCAAGGATAATGTTGTGGTGAAAGAAGTGACGGCATAAGACTTAAATGATTACCAGGGTGTGCAGATCCCTGTTTACACAGTTAAGACTGACTGCTTCTAAAGCCTGAGCCGTGCACTACATCTATTCCTCACTATGAATACAAAAAGCAGCAGATGCGTGACTAATGTTTTACAAATGCTGACTTCATCCTGGGGTTGATACAATTGAGAGTGAACTCCCAGAGTCGGAGAGGGAACTCCCAGCCAGCTGGACACTGTGTGCTTCGGGAATGCAGGCTTGATAGCATGCACTGTAACTCACAGCACTTCTCAGTAGAGCACAATCCTATTAGTCGGTGTGGGTAATCGTGGTTTTAATCACATGCGGAGGTCACATCTCTCATCTCTATACACGGGTCAGATTGTTAAACTACAGCTGCTCTCTTTTTAAAAAGCAGCTGCGGTCAGGTCACATAAACACATTGTTACACAGAAACAATGCTGTAAACCTAATGACAAGCCAGACCAAAGGAAAAAAAGGCTGCTAATACAACAATCTGCACTTCCCTTACACTCACAGTTTGGGATGACTCAAAGGAGTGTCAGAGGAAACATTGGAGCTTGGGGGTCTAACTGCAGCAGAAAATGTGATTTAACAACACTCAAATTCCTCCTGGCTATAAAATTTCAGATCCAGAACATAATGTTATGATTAGAATCTCAAACTTACGGACGTCATTGTCTGGGTTAGAGGATTAAATAACCTCTTTCAGCTCCATTGGCTGCTCGGATGTGACAAAATGTACCAGGGAACTTGTGGTTATATTAAAATGTCCTTTACCGTCATGACCTTAGTATCATCCTGATTCACAAAGTCAGACACACTGTCAAACCAAGAGTTATTTACTGTAGAGCACACACAGGGCTGGTTATATAATGAGGGTGAAGCCATCTGATCCCTGCAGCCTTGCTCCAAAACAGTGCTTTTCTCTTAGTCAAATGTTAAACAGCCATCTTATTTATGAAAAAAAGCAAAACCGGTTACAGAGAAGATGACAGTCTTTGCTTGACTTAACTTGATGTAAATGTAGTAGAACTATCATGATGCTACTGTAGAACAAAGTGACAGTAAATAATGATAAAAAGGCCACTTCTTTTAATGGACAGTTATGCTAGTTCCCTTTAACAATTGTGTCAGTGAAAGAGTCCTGTTTTGTATTGCATAAACATTATCACTTTGCCCATTCAGCTACACAGAACAATACTTACAATCTTAGCTCAAACTATATTACTGTATAAATCCATCTATCGACAGAAATAAGCCTGATGTACACATTGATCCTTATTTTCAAGGTAAAAAGTTAGCTGTTTCTCTTAGGATTCTTCAATCATAAGTTGAATATCTTTGGATTTTGAATCAAGGCTGCAATATTTATATCAAATGAATAGACAGATAATGCATCTGCAAATAATTGTATCATTAATTCATTCTTAAAGCAAAGCATTTTTAAACCAAAGAAGCCCTCAAGCTTCTCAGTTATGATGATTTGCTGCTCCCCTCTTTATGTTACAGTAATATATTTTTGTTTTTGTTTCAACAATGCTAGTTGGTTAGGCAAACATTTTTTAACTTGGTGCTTCTGACCATTTTCTGAAACTTCATAGACAAAATGATTGTTCAATTATTCAAGCACATAAACTGAACATCAATGGGCGATGAAAATCGTTGCAAAACTAACCCATTTGTGTTCTTTAAGGCACAGACTTTAACTTGTACTAATGAGAGAAAGAAAACCTAAAACAGGTTACAGAAGAGATGACCATCTTCACTTGTCTCGACTTGACAGTCAGAAATGTTGGCATTTATGACACTGTGGACCACAGGGTGATTTTTAATAATGGGTATGGGGTCTCTTCTTGTCATGACAAACGTTTCCTTAAAACCTATTGTGTAAGCAACAACTTTGAGTAACCTAGAGTAAACTATTGTGTCACATTATTCCTACTAATTTACACGGGAAGACATTTCCACCAATTAATTGGCACAGCATTGTCTTGCTGCTTATCACTGTATTATGCGCTGTAATATGCGTTGTCCTTGCATGTTTTCTGACCAATAACAGGTTGACAACGCAAGACAAGCAAAGCGGCTTCTTCAGTGATAACTGTATGACCAAACCGAGGCTAGAGACAGTGGCAGTCATTTGTATCGATTAAGCATCAATAGACGGAGGAGTCATGTTTAGCTTGGTGGCAGTTATGTGAACAGTCAGCTGGTTGCTCAAATCGATTCCACAACCGGCGAGGAAGTTAGCCTTGGACACGAAGAAAATACCTGACAATAAAGAGGGTATTGCAGGGCACTAACCACCACACATGTTGAAGTGTGTTTACACCAGACGATGCCAACACGTTGTCTACAGTCCTGCTTCGTTTAGAAAACCCGTACTTGAATGCAACGTCCAAATAGGACAACTAAAAACACCGACAAGTGACTAACGTTAGCTAGTTTCTGGACATGTAGCATGTTAGCTGGTTTGCTATAATGCATCATAGTAGGCTGCAGCTCCTCAGCTACTTTAACCTGCAGGCTACAGATAACAGGTCCAGTCAGGTTTTGCACGACTGTATTAACACCAAACACCCTCACCTAGATGACTCCTCTGAAAACCCGCCGTCCAGCAGCCGGACTTTACAGAAGAGGACACCGTTCACAAAGGGGACCGAGGAAAGCTCGTTCAGCTCAAAATCCACCTTGAACTTGAATTTCTTCTTCTTCATCATCATTAAATCCATACACTGATTCAGTACTCTTGAGAAGATGCTCAAATCTCGCCCGTCGCTGACATTACAGCCCCATTGTGTCGGAGTGTTACTTGTGCTGTGGGAGGAGGACGTTGAAGCTGCTGGGGACAACCGTCTATGTGACACTAACGAGGCAGGGGAGAAGAGCTACTTCCTGGGGAGATTTTCCAAATAAAACATTATGCTTTCACTTGTACTTGTATACTGTGTGTTTACCTGTGGTGGAAGAAGTATTCAGCTACTTTTAAATAGCATTACTAAAGTGTAATAATACTTTAACATGAAAGTTAGAAAGCAATTATTTAACGTGTGTTTCAATGTAATGTTGCAGCTGTTAAAGGTGGGTCTTTTAATCAGTTTGAATACTGTCCTTGGCTGGTGCGATAAAGTCATATTTCAACCAATATTAGTACATTTATTGTATTACATGTTGTATCAACTATATCAATGATACAATTATACAACATGTATCAAGATGACGTGCTTTGATTCAGATCGATTCAGATTAATGATACAGTATCATTTAGCTAAACAAGGAATTAAAGCTATCAAAATAATGCATACAAATAACAATATGTTCATATGATAAGAAGTAGAATATAAATCCATCACACTTGGGATTAAATGCACTACTTTAGAAGAGATACATTTCATCACCACTGGATTGATTACATTGTGTCCCATAGACTGTATCTGTCTTCCTTTTATTTTGAAATAAATGAGGATGTACACGGATGGACACTGATGACAGTTGTAACTTGACTAGAGTTGGATAAAGCCCGCCTTCTCTTCAGTCGCCCCCTGGCGGTCAATCTGAGAACCAGCAGCACTGATTTGACAGATTACAACAAAGTGAAACCAGCTGCTGTTATGTAACATTTGTCGCCACCTCGTGGTATCTTCAAGGCACTGCAATTAAGCTTTTACTCAACTGCACTTTTCACATCAGTTAATTGTAACCCTTTATTTAAAAAAAGAAAAGGAGCAAAAGATAACCAGATAACATGTTTTATTTCTATTTCTTACAACTTTGTAGAACACAAACTGATACGATTGGTATATAACTGAGAGAAAAATAAGAATGATATGAATAAATACATACATAAGTAATGATTATAACAATAATTATATTACATGATCAAACCATTAATTGACCTTACTAGTGTTCTGTTTTTGTTAAATATTTGTTTTAACATTTCTGTGTGTGTAGGCTCACATGGAGGTGGCTAAAACTGCATTTCACTGTGCAATCCTGAATTCTATAATGACTATAAAGCCTTGAATATTCAAAAGATAAAAAAATTGAAAATATAACCTGCATAAACTTGAATAGTTAGACATAGGTAGGCTATATAGCTACCATGTACATTGTTATTCCAAAACCACCTTTAGTGCAGAACATTAGTTTGTAAAAATCTTCGATTGATAATCAGAATGTAAGATTTTTCTGAAATGCAAACTTAAAGTGGCTGTGTGGGATATGGACTCCTCCTCCCCCATCTCTTCCTCTTGCCTTCAAAGTATTGGAGCCTCAATTAAAAACGTTTGGGGATATGTTGCCAGGGCCAGCTGCCGGATTCCTGTGTGTATGACTCACTGAACTGAACCAGACTGCCCGCATCGCCTGCAGTCCTCTATAGGGCAAGGACCATACCCGTAGGCTAGCTACTATATTTATGAATATCCATATTTGCGTGTGCGTGGGTGTTACACTGCAAACCACAACAAACGATAACTTAAATTTGGAAAAAGCACAACATAACACTTTGGGGAAAAGAATAAGAAAGGAATAAAGTACTAATAAGCTAGCCTATCTCACGTTTTCTTGGTGTTTGCACTTGTTTATGTAAACATACGCCTTGAACTATTATTTTAGTTGTATTATTTAATTATATATTATTAATTTTATTATATTTAGTGAGGGTTTTCCCGCGGAAGGGTGTGTCTCTTTAGTGTGTGTGCGCAGTAAAGGAGGAGGTCTTCTCAGGCAAACTAAACCCGAGTGTCGCCACCCTTCTGCTGCCAACCTACCTCATCTGCAAAAAGCCTTCCGTAAATATATCATAACAAATACATACCGTATTCTTTACCCTCCGACTTATGCGGACTTTTGTTTAAGACTCGGTCTGCGAGCTGCACTGCGGAAATCTCTCTGAAACAACACGGGACGATCCTGCTGCTTCAAACCAGAAGTGCAAGCCCCAGGAATCGGGTTGTGTGTGTTTCCACAGCAGAAGTTTAATTTGGCGTCTGTGTGGAGCCTGTTTTCATTCTCAGTTCAACAATGTATCAAGTCGTAAGGAAGCGGTTTTTCACGGACTGTCAGTGTGCTGGAGATGCGTCGAAAACGTACGATGATCTGTTCGCCAAGCTGGACACCAACAAGGATGGGAAGGTGGATGTGTCCGAGCTGAAAGCAGGCCTGGCCGCTATGGGCATCAAGACTGGGAAAGGAGCAGCTCAGGTAGAGCCACAGACACAGTAAACAGCATATATAAAGGCCTCAGTAGGGAGAGACAGTTGGCACAAATACTTTATGTAGTAGGCCTACTGCATTCCTAACAGACTCCAATTATTTTCTAGTCACCTTAAGTAACCTTAAAAAATAAGGCCTCAGTGATAGATGTACTGCTAACTATTACAGATATATTGTACTTCATTAGTTTTTATACTTCAGG